CATTGTAGAAAGGATTTGTACACAAACAATTTGAAATATGAAACGTAAATGAAAAAAATGACATGAAACGTGATCTGTGAATTTGATGATTGTGATAAGGGAAAAAAATTTTCATCAAATAATCATTCTCAATATACGAATGATGAGAAAAAGCGTAAAACGGATGAGGAGAAAGAGATTACTTTTATCATCAAAACTCTTTCGATAAAATGGACATATTTCAAACCAAAACCAAACAGAACCAACAACAATAACAGCAACAAAAAATGGGCAAAATATTGATACCCCCTTAGGGTGAATTTAATGAAAGTTATCAATATAACAGAATAAATGAAAAAAAAATAAAAATGTTTGACAGTAACCTGATGACAAATTTTCTCTTTCTGTATAGCATTACATTTCATATGTACAACAAATATTGAATGGTGATGCTAACAAAATTAAATTTAAAAAATGGATTCATAATACAATTATAGTTGTCAATAATTTTGTGTCTAATAATAGTCGTTTTATTGAATCAGACAATTTCCGAATTTGAATTCCACAATAACGAAAAAAAATCGAAAAAAAGAAAAACAAACTTTTCAATTTTTAACACGTTTATTCGATAACGAAGAGGAAACAAAAAATTTTTGACATTTTCATGTTTGTCTTTTGCTTGTTTCAAGTCAATAATAGAAATGAATTTTTTGAAATTCTATTTTTAAAAATATAGTATTTGAAAATTTTAATTATGATTATGACACAAAAAAAGTTTTCATTCGATAAAACAATGAAAAAAAATAAACAACTTCTCTTTATTTTATTTTATAAATATGGCATAGAAATTCAAATCATTTCAAATAAGGATAACGGAATTATGTTTGTGTATTTTGTTAATAGATGGCATTACATGATAAAAGTATAAATATTTATCATTATCAACATAAAATATAAATATAAATGGCGGCTTTTTAAACAATGGAAAATTTTGTTCATAATGGAGAAAATATGAAAAAAAGCTAACATCATCCGAATGAATCATCATCATTCGTGTTTGAAGTCAAATTATACAAAAAATTTTAAAATGAATTTATAATCACCATAATTGGAATTGGTTGAAAATTTCCAAATTGATTTGAATAGTTTTTATTGTTATTATTATGATTTTTTATATGAATAATAATGATTACTTTCAACTATAAAAAGTATAGATGATTCAGTATGCAAATTAAGTGTGTTCATTTGATTGTTTGAATAAAATTTTGGGTAGGACATGAAAGAAAACGAATTGAATAACTTCCTTGGTTTATTCACATTAATTTTGAATTTAATTTATTCAACAACAAAAAAAATTTTGACATGAACATTATTGTTGAAGAATTGTATAATCTTTGTGAAATATTTGAGAGGCTTTCCCAAATTTATCTGAAAATTTATCTTTGTGGCAATTATATTTTTTCCCAGAATTGTAAACCGTTGATAAAATTTTAAATGATTTGGCCAGTCAACGATGGCATCGGTTGTTGATGTGTGTGTGTTGATGTTGTTTTTCTACAATTTCTAAATTTAGATTATCAAATTGAAAGAAAAACATCATTTTCAATGACCAAATGTGAGAAAAGAAAGGAGAAAATTTGTGTGCAAACCAAATCAAGCAATGTTTTAATTTTTCACTTTCCAAAAACAAAAACAATGTTGTTTATTAATCTCCTAGTATTTTTAATATGTTTTTGAAGATATGAATGATAATGAGAATCTTTTTCTTCCATCTTTTTAAGGTATCATTAAAGATACAGATTAACATTTTCATTACATTCCCAGTACATTTGTCTTGGCATATATTTTTTAAAATTAATTTTATATTTTAATTAATATTCATTCATAATAATAATTTTTTATAATAGAATTTTGATGAAATTTGAAAATCCAAATAAATCAAGGTTGTATTCGACAAATGTCAACGATTTATTATGATTGACTGGAATATTATACATAAATACTATTGTTATTAACTTTTAATATTTATTATCATTATCATCATCATTGTGATTCTAAGATGTGAACGAAAAAAATGGATTCAGATTGTTTATTATAACAGAAAAGGGAGAGAGAGAGAGAGAGATAAAGAAACAGAGCTATCTATTTTTGGTCATCCTTCAAACATTAACACTGGACATTAGACTTATGCACACCTTTTTTTCATCATCAAAAAATAGATTTTTTCATAACTTTGGTTTTTTAAAAAAAATCGAACATCATTTTGGGATATCCAATCAAGATAAAAATAGATCGAAAACGATGAAATTCAAATATGAAACGAATGGTCAGAGAAATTTTTTTTTGATTCCCCTCGTTGTGAATGAAAATGATCATAGTCATGTTTATGTGATGGCTATGATCATTTCCATAACATCTAAACTGAATCAATGAATTGAATAACTATGCTCTTCTTTTTTCTCTCTTTCCCCCATCATTCACTTAGCATCGGTCTTGTTTTTCTTCCAAATAAATTCGAATCAAAATGATTCGATTGCACACACATCATAATATTATTTTGATCATAACAACAACCTGAAATGAATGAACAACAAGAGCATTTGAATCACGAAAGGTAAAGAACAACCAGAAAAAATCTATTTTCAGATTTCTTGTTCCTTTTCCCATCCTGTAAATACTTTATTGCATTAGCTTATGTGAGCATGTGTAAATCAAGTATAAATCTAAAATAATGAAATCATTTTGTGTTGTTGTTGTAAAAAAGAATCTGATTGACGAAAAAAAATTATCTAGCCGGTTTGATAAAGAAACAAGTTCAACCCTTTGTTTGCTTAATATTTGATAATAATGATAACATTCAAATTCAATCCGAGACAAAATAATTATGGATCGACCCATTGACATGACTTGACTTTCTGAATAATAATTGAATAAATCATGATAAATGAATGAACTGTCACAACTGTATTCATCACACACAAACAAATATCCATGAAATAGAAAAAAAATTGCATTGTCTCATATTGAATCAATGGTGAACTTGACTTTCGACAACAAAAAAAAAGTAAAAAGAACATCAGCAAATATGTTATATAATATATAGTCTAGTGTGTTTTCTTCTCATTTCAATTTTCAAATATATATTATCATCATACAATTTCATTCATTCTATGTATTCCATTATCTTTTATTTGAATTTAACTAAATTTAATTTACCTTAAATATTCAACTTGGATTATTTGATAATTTCGTCTTAAAGATTTTTCCATTTTTTTGTTGACTATATTTATTTATTATAATTTTGATGGCAATTTAATCCCTTAAACACGATGATATTTTATGAAAAGTAGAGAAAATCTAAATGAATAAGTGTTTCAATAGAAATAAGAAAATAGACATTGCCAGTGAAGTAGTTTTTAATTGCGAAAATAAAATACATGTAAACAAAATCTTCATAGGCCAAAATTAGTGCCAAAACGAGTTAACGGAATATTAATTAGCTCTTTTTTTCATGTTATATAGCGATGATCAGGATATTGATTGATTGACTCAAACGCTAAAATTGATTTGACTTGTTTTGAATTGCATATTTATTATTAGCGTTTTTTTCTTGTTCCTTTTTGGTTTACCAGCTTAAAACAGCCTAAATTATGTTATTTACCATTTCTGTCCGATAAAAAAACCCGATTATCGATTATTTTTATTCATCATTGATTTACGATTATATCAAGTTTTTCTTTTTCATTCGATTTAAACCTGACTTTCACTCATCTGACATTTGAAATAGTTTATTGTAAATTCGGATGATGATGATGATTTCATTTTTTTTATAATTTCTCCACAATCACTTGTTGAGTTTATTTCTTTGAAACAGGATAAAAAATAAGATGAATCCGGTTTTGTTTTTGTTTTAATACAAACTACAACACGAAAAAAGTTAGAGAGTAATGTGTATCTAAATATATTGAAGCAATTTTTGTTTATAAATATAATAATCAATTTACATTAATCCATAATTTCAAATGATAAATTCAATTCAATATGACACACACACACACACACTTCGAGAAAAACATTCTCGATTAACCTAAATTGTGAAATCAACCGAAAAAAAGAAATGAAATTTTATTTTACTTCAATTCAATAGGAATTTATAATTATTATGATTTATAATGGTAACCGGTGTTCCGGTTACTGCACAAATAACGATCAACAATAACAGGATTTCATTAACAGTTTTTATTTATTTATTAATGGAGAAAAAGACTTATAAATTTTTTTTACTTTTACACATTTGTCATTTGGTTTGAATAACACTATAGTCCATGAAATTAATGATGATGATGATAATCAAGAATTTTCTTTTTAAAATCCAAAAAATGAAATATTTTTTTCTATAAATGACCATTTGTGGAACACAAGACAAGATTGATGATTTCATTTCGTCCATTTTTCTTTACATTCAATTTTCTCTAAATGTTTTTTTGTTCTCTTTTTTTCATTGGAAATTTCATTTTTTTTTGTAAAACATCTATCTAGCCAATAGGATCATCATCGTCATCATGATCATCCGAAATCAAGATTGGTGAGAGACAATAAATAATGTTTTAGTTTGAACTAAGCAAACTGAAAGGAAAAAAAGAGAACGAAAGTTATTTGAAAATTAAAAATAAAGAGATTTTGATGGCTGGAATATTGCGGTCGAATCAAGTCAAGTAAGTCAGTTTAGAGTCAGTTAGTGATTTGTTATCCATTTCATTGGTTTGTTAGTTTGTTTTCTGATAAAATAATTATGATTCTGATGATGATGATTCGATTTTATCATTCATGATCATTATCGAATCATAATTATTGGCAAGCAAAAAAAAAACAGATCAACTCTAATTTTACATTTCTTGTCCATTCATTAAATCCATTCGGTACCATGATGGTCAATGGTATTCAGTGAAAATAATTTTCTTTCTTTTTTTCTCCAAACATCAATTTGATTTTGTTTTTAATACGATACAATTGTTTCTCCTGCTCTGTTTTTTTTGTCTATCATTTGTTATCATCGAACTTGAATTAGTGTGTCGACTTCATTAAAAAAGAACAAGAAAAAAAAATTTATTTCAAAAAATAAATAAATACGACAATGGTTATTCATCAAAGGTAATATTTAAAATAAAATAAAAAATATTTTGTTTTTAAAATTTGACATACATTTCCACAAACGTAATTGAACCGTCGTAAAAAAGATATCATTAGTTCAATGTTACGAAACAATCATCATCGATTTTTTGTTGTTTGTTTTGAATGAATGCAAATGTGTGTTTATTTATGTGAAATTTAAATGAAATGTTCTGATCAACAGCAATCCTAAAAAACAAGAACATAAAATCATTACTCATCGAAAGGAACCTGTTTTTTTCTTCGGATCCAAAAATGATTCATCATTTTAAAGTGTAATAAAACAAGTCACAATAAACAAACACAAAAAATTCTCAATTCTTTGATTTTTCAATATAATCAATATTTTTTTGTTTGTTTAAATGTAGTAATCTCTCTCTCCTCTCATCTATCGTATATATCTACGTTAGATTTTGTGTTGTTGTTGTTGTTTTGCCATTACGAAATCTGTTCTTGTTCGTGTTGCCTCCCTTTTCAATTTCATTATCGATGTTTGTTTGTTTTTTTTGTTTTGATAAAATATGTGGACTAGAAAAAATGAAGCCACGTTCATGTGTGTAACAGAAAATATAATCGATTATAAGAGAAAATTAGTAAATGCTTAAGAAATTAAGTGAAAGCAAACAAGATTGATAAACAAAAGACGGACAATACGTAATGGCAATTATTAAGAAAGAAGGATTTGTATATAAAATCATCAATAGAAACAAAAAACGGAAGTTTAAAATTCAATGCTGACAGGGACGTTTAAAAAACAAAAGTGAAATAATAATAAAAAACAAACTAATACTTTTGACTAATATCTGATTTGGTTAAAACATGGTTATCATAAATGTAAAGAAACATTGAAGAGATGGTTGTTTTACGGTGCTTCCGTAGTATATCACGTTTTTTGTTGTTGATTGTGACACATATCAATCAATCAATTTCCAATCAATTCATCGATTATTCTATCGATTTGATTGTTGCTCGTTTTGTACATCCGTCATTTAATGTTATTGTGAATTTTATTACACACGTACAACAATTCAAATTGTGTTGAAAGTTTTTAATTTGTTTTTTCTTTCTCTTCGCTTGAAATTTTATGGTTTTAAGAGATTTTCAATATTTATGTCAATCAATCCTCAGCGTTTCCTATATTTTTTTGCCGGCATTTTTTTCATGTAATTGTTATTTTTTTATTTATGATTGTAGATCATTTATGAACATGATACCTCATCGGACACAATTCATAATTATTGTGGCCATTCTTGCTGCCGTTATCATTGATTCATCGGCCAATAGCCAAGATTATAGTCATCATCATGATAGCAAAAATGACGAAATAGTGAGCTTTGAATTGCCCACCGATACTGATACTCATAATCATCAACATAATCAGCAACAATTAAAATCCCAGCATCAACAACCTGAAGTATCGCCACCGGTTAAGCGACAAATTTCAAATAATCCTAACTATCAATATTATAGCTTTGAGCTTCCAAATACAAACACAACGAATTTCGTGAGTTATTAGCTAGGATCCATTTTCCATATAATTTTAATATTTCAATCATTTTAACAGCAATTACCACCTGTTGAAGATCATTTTATTCATTATAAGCAACCACAATCACAGCCATTACGTGAACAATCGCAACCACAGCCTGTTCATCGTCATCATTCACCACTTCCTAGTAATCACAATCAGCAGCCACAACAACAACAACAATCACAATATCAGCCACAGCCACAATATGTTCAATCTCAACCAAAGTCAACCAACTATCAAGATCAATTCAATTCGATTCGCCGTTATCCACAATTTCAACAAAATCAGCCGTTGACAAATAATGAGCCATTGATTTCTGTCATTAGTGGTGCGAATCAATTTCATCCTTCACAATCGGTCTCATGGAATCCACCACCAACTCATTTTCCACCACCACCATTATCGTCGCAGCAATCATCTTCAGCTCTGAATTCCGCTCCACCAGTGCTTGATACGATCCGTAATGCTCCACAAAGTTCTTCACAATTATCATTTGTACCATCATCATCACAATCGAATGCCAATCAATTTAATGGTCACCTTGTTGATTCTTCCAACAACCAACGAACAAATTCAAGAAGTCAATCGCAATCTTTTCCTTCCACATTATCTCCAACACAGCCAAGTGAATCTTCCACACAATTACCATTAGCATATCCATTCCAGTATGAAGATTTGCAATCGAATAAATCGCGTATTAATTTCCGACCAGGTGATCATAATTTACTGGCACCGCTAGCCGAATCATCACCACCAGAATCGACACCGCTACCAAATCGTTCAACAGTGCCACCATCGTCAACACCGTCTTCTGTTCAAAGTACAAGCAAAGCATCTAATAGTAGCGATCATAAAAAAGATGATGTTGTCATCTATTATTACTATTATTATGATGACGATAAAAACGCTAAGAATGATCCTAATAATGGACTTGATGCCATTCCTTCCTTAGAAGGATTTGATGGTGGTGTTAGCGGACAATCACAGCCATCGTCGCAATCACAATCGAATGTTGGCAAACCACCTGGCAAAATTGTTGTAAAACAACCTGGAGATTCTCCAATTAAGATGACAGATCCACATTCTGGTGCCAACGTTAAACCGCTTGATATATCGGCTATTTTGAATCCATCTGCTCCAAATTCAGAAAATAGACCGCCTACTCAATCTCAGCAGTCACAATCATCGACACCCCCTCAAATCCAACAAACGCAACCCCAACAATCACAGCCTTCTATTTTGCCACAGATAACGAATCATACGAATCTTGTGTCGAATATTTTCCGATATGGAAACCAACAGCAACCACAATCACCATCAACATCTACTTCTCAAGCTCCTCCTCAATTACCAACACATTTTGAAGCAGAAAAGATTCAACCACATCCTATTGAAAAATTACCTGAACCCCAAATACCAACAAACACTGCAGCCCCAGCTTTGGTATCACGGCCATCAACTTCACAACAATTTTCACCTACCAGTTCCGCTCGACCGCGATACACAACCACCACAACGACTACGACAACAACTACCGCTATGCCTAGTACTGCTGAAGCATCAACTACGACAGAATCTCCGTCACGTAGGCGTTTCGGCAATCGCCGACCTGGATTTGGTGCACCAAACCGTTCCACTCCATCATATCGAAATCGATTGTCAACTACGACTACCACAACTACAACCACTCCAGCACCACAACGAACATTTACACGTGCTCCTCCTGTAAATTTTAATCCAGCCTCAGTTAATATTCGCCGCAATCGTCCATTGGCTAATAATCGGTTCCGTCGTCCACAACGTCCGGGATTCGGTTCACCCGTCAATGATGAACGTCATTCTGGAGATGATCAACATGGAAATGGTGATGGCGGAGAACAACATCACTCTTCGACTTCTACAACTACTACAACAACGACAGCCGCACCATACCGCACAACCCAGGAACAATCGTCAGCTACACCAAGACGATTCGGTAATCGTGGTCGATATGGTGGACGAGGCAGTTATCAACCGCAACCAAGCACTGGACGACAGAATACAGAAGCGCCATCAAGTACCACCGAAACTGCTTTACAATCAACAACAAAACGTCCAAGCGTTTATGCAAGCCGTAATCGTCCACAACTTCGTGGTGGTGCTGGTCGATTACCTTTCCTTCGAAATAGAAATCGTAATCAACCTGAAGAACAACCAGCTATTTCATCTACAACGGAAACACCTGTAGCGGCTTCTGTTTCTGCTCAATCAGACGACCAAAACAATTCAGGAGGAAACGATGATGCAGCTAGTGCGGCTGCTAACGAACCAAGTTTACAATCGGGTGGTGATTCCGATTCAGAATCACAGCCTGCACCAGGTGAACCATCTTCATCATCATTGCCATCATCATCAACTGAACGACCTAGAATCGGCAATGGACGACAGCGACCTACACTGTTTGGAAATCGACCAAAGCCAAATCTATTCGGAAGAAGAGCTCCAACGCCGGCTCAAAGTGCCTAAATAAAAATATTACAACAAACTGAAAAGCCATTCCAATTCATTTTATTTATTACTATTTTTTTACGATTTGGATTTTTTTTCACTGGATAATATAATTTGCTTATTTTTCAAGATAATTATTCATTTGTATTTATTTTTCAGATTTTCATGTTTCTGTACAAAAAAAAAATAAGATTAAAAAATCAACCAAATAATCGAAAAATATATTTGAATCATTCATATTTAGATTAAATATCTTCGAATGTATTTTTCTAATTCAATTTCAAAATAATAATAATAAATTAAGTAGATCTATTGTGATTTATTTGTTTTTTTCAATGTCAAAATGCTTGGAATCCTTCGATTGATAACTAGGAGATTGTTGTGTTATAAATAGACTTGGATAGTGATTATGTTCATGGCCATGAATGCAAAAAATATCATTAGAAATAGACAATAATAATGATGATGAACGTATTTTTAGTTTTGCTTCCAGTCAAATATCGTTTTTTTCTATATATACTTATAAAATAATAATCAACAATTGGATTGTACCCAAAAAAAAAAAAAATCAAACTGTTGTTTAATTGTTTGACTAAATCATCCTGGTATGATGAAAATTTTTATTAAAGAATTCGGCTAATGATAAAGATGTTGCCCATGGGAAATGAATTGTGATATTTTTTAGCAGCTATCGCCAGAAATGGCTATACAAATTACGATCGAAGATCATTTTATACCATATTTAGTTTTAATTTTCAATGTGTTAATAGTATATCTTGTTCGATCAATTTCAATTCGCATTCTACCTTCTAGCATTTATCAAATTGTGAATGAATTAATTTCAACGATAGAACTATGTGCCTGTTGTGCTGAACTTGGACCAGTTTGGGAACTACATGGCAATTATGGCATAGCTATAGCATTATTTTTCCTTTGTGTTTGGTGGTGCCAGGTATGGGGAGATGCAGAAGCCTGTCCTTGTGGTCCCGTCGAAGAGATGTTCATTGCTGGACGATCAATTACTTCACCAGATTTGATGAGAAAATTATTTGGACAATTATTAGGAGCTTGGCTTACCTGGAAGTAAGTGATCCACATAGAATCGAAATCAAAATTCATATAGTATGTAAAATTTGACTATGTTTAGATATACCTCTTGGATTTGGTGTTGGCATTTGACCGAACAGCATCATCATCTTCATGAGGCTCCATGTGAAGCATCTTTATATGTTTCACCTTTATACGGTGCTTTAATCGAAGGTCTAATCACATTTATTAGCCGTATCGTTGCGCTTGAATCTGATAATTGGAATCATTTCATGTCAACTGTAGCTAATTCAATGACAAGTGTATTACTTGTTTTATTTGGTAAATATAAATCAACCATACAAAATCATAATAATCAACATATAACCCAAAATAGCACTTAATACAACTGGCGGTTTTTTCAATCCGATATTGGCTTCAGCTTTGATGATCGGCTGTAAAGGTCATACGTATTGGGAACATTTCCAAGTTTATTGGTTTGGAGCTATGATAGGCAGTTTGCTGGCTAGATGGATACATGATAATTTATTAGATTCAACCAAAATTAATAAAAACAACAAATATGATTGAATTAATGTAAAAATTTCTAATCGTAATGAACACGTGTTGAATAAAGTACAGATCGACGAAAAGGTGTTGATGATGAGGAAGTACAAAAAGATTTTGTTTTCTCTGATTGTCTTAAGTTTTTGCAGCCATCAGGTTGTGGTGATTGAATCAAACCATTACCATTCGGTTGAAGCGATGAGGAAATTGAACATCGATTTAAAGAGAAATCACCTGCCGGACGAACAAAACTGGATTCATCGAAACTGGTGCACAATGAAGTAAGCGAACGAATCGATTCGTTTAGTGAGCGATCATTTTTGTTTGAATCAGCTTCTAAAGGTACATGTGTCACAATCCCATTTGACCAACAAATGGTGATCAAGCAACCAGGATCAATGTAATTATCATGAAAATTCATCAATAAGCATCGGACACTTAGTCCTGAAGTAAATGCAGGTTTAAGAATGCGAAATGGTCGAATGTTTAGGCCAGGATTTAAATTCGTGTTGAAAATGGCTATTGCCTTCAAAGGGTCTAAAAGAAACAAATATAAAATTATAAATTTTTTTCTTTTAATCAATTTTTTTACCATGAAATGAAACAACCAATTTGGTGGATTTGGAATCCCAGCACATTTGGCGAATGATTGGCATAAAAGTTATATCATTCTGATCAAAGAATTGTCTTGTGTCAAGTACTAATGTACATTTATCACTGGAGCAGCCACCCACGTCGTCAGCTTCGGCTTGATCATAAAATGTTAATGCATAGACTTTTGATGATTGCTTGGGCACGAACAACAGTATCATTCCGTTTGGTCGTGACCATACCGCCGTTTGACAGAGCTGTTGATTGTGTTCGCATGGGAATGTCCAAAATTTGTAAGACCACTTTATCGATTCGAATACACAAATTGGCTTATGGCGCACGGTTGTCAAAGCCAACAACCGTTGTCCATCAGGAGACCACTGTAGCGAAGTCAGTTGTGGCAAATGAATCAATGATGAAAGTTGTTTCATTCGAATAGATTCGATTTTTATCAATTGACATTTATCATCGAATCGACATAAAGATAGTGAAGCATTACGGGGAGAACAACTAACCAACATGTTGCCATTCATATTGAATGCCAAACTAGTTATTGGACTTTGTAAATGTGTATTTACGATCTGTAATGAAGGCTGCTGTCTTGTTGATGAAGATTCTGCTTTGACTAAAGCTGGGGATGATTGAGCAACATTCGTCGAAAGGCATTCAAAACGCCAAATGAGTATTTTATCTCGACAAGCTACAACCAATACATCATCTAATTTTGGATGCCAACACATTGATGATATTCGTCTTTGGTGAACATTTTTTACACATGTTATATGATTCATTGGTCGTTTATGATCGGCCGAATATACATAAATAAGATCATTTACCAAGGCTAATGCACATCGAAGCGAATTAGGATGCCAGACAAATGTACGCACTAGACCAGATTTCCACTCGGGATTCAAATTGAATTCATTTAATAGATCATCATCAGAGTACTAATGAAGGAACAAACTATTAATTAATCTTTAAAAAAATTGATAAAATTATTAGTTACCTTATCAAATGGATAAAAATACAGATGAATTGCAAGATATATGGAATGAATTTGTAGAATGACTAAGGCAAATATGTATGACAATAACAGACCATAGTTCGTAACATTAGTTGGGTAACCAGATTGATTGTCATCACTTTTTGGATTTGATTGGCGGTGATGTTCATGATACAATTGTTTAATGAATTTCAACATACAAATGAATCCTTTGGTGCGATAATGACGCAACAGACGAATAAAAAGATTTTGATCTGTTCGTTCAACAAATATATCACGACAAAGATGTTCAGGTGCCAATGCTGGTTTCACAATCTCGTCATTTTGAATTAAAATTCGAGGATATTTTTGTCCCTGTTTATAAAAATTGTCATTATCGGATGATAAAAATTAGTGATATACTTACCCTATGATTAATGAGATCGGAATCGATAAACGAATCATCAATCAAAATCTCTTCCATTTTGTCAATAAAACTTTTTCGTGTATGTCGTTGAATTTTTGTTGTCAGCTGAAACATACATGCGATTATAACACGCCGGTTTCATCATTAGTCAAAAATTCAAGTAAGAATTTATAAAAGTCGCCATCTTGAGTCTAAAAAAAATAAAAAATAATTATTATCCATTATCAACCCATGTTGACCAATAAATGTGGAAAAAGACGTTCGATTTGGTATTTCCATACCGCTATCTCTCGAAAGAATTTCATTTTCCCACCCTTTTTCTCTTATTTTAGAAAGTAGAATCCTAATCAACGTTGTTAACAAAATAATTGACTCACCCTACCTTCGCCAATAATTCATGCTACTATCCATAATTATCCATTGAGAATGTGGATTGTCATATTGTAGTTGAATACCACTCCTTTTTGTACATGTCATCAACAGTATCGTGATTTTTTTGATCGATGCTGCTGCAAACATGTTGATGTTATTCTTTGATGACGCGACCTCGTTCAAAGTTTGCTTTTTTTCATTTCCTAAATGATCCAAACAATTAAAGAACAGTCATTTTTTCCAATAACCTTCAAGTTTTGTTTGTCAATACTCAATCATCATCATTAAACACAATAACAACATTCATCCCTAACTAATCAATATCTCAAATGATGCCAATGGTGAATGTTAAAAATCATAGGTTCCAACTGTAGCTTAATGCATAACAACAGATAGCTATTTTGCATATGTGTGTAATGTGCCTTGACGATGTAATTAACTTCAATCTTTTTTAATCATAGATTTGTGATTGTGGTTTTGTGTGTCATTTGAAGCCTGTTGTTGTTTGTTGTGATTGGCTTTAATCTAATGTTAAATGTTTTTATTATTATTAAATCTGTTGCACTTGTATGTATATGATCAAATATATGAGCATTTTTATACAAAAAAGATATAACCAATGTTTCAGTATTATTTCCAAATTGTTTGCCTCTTCATCATCTAATCCACTATGCTTTGATTTACAAAAATGTGTTATTTTATCATTTTTTTCAAATAATATTCGGATTGATACTATTCAAAACATGTCATCTCATACATCCCAAATCTATATAACAGAAATTAATTTTTATTTATGGATTTTATCGAAATCTTTCAAATGTATGTAAATCAACGCCGATTTACCGTTGATACTAGCAGCATAGGATATAATTTACCAGGAAAACAAATATACACACAGACCGTGATAGTGAAATTTTTTCTTTCTCTGAATTCAATCGAAAATGTGAATGTAAGTTTTTTTTTGCGCGCGTGTCAACACGACGACTAATGTATGTGATTTGGATATAAAGGCAGAGATGTGTATACATCATGTCTGTGTGGTGAACCAAAATGTATTTGACGCCGAATCTCCGTTAACCAAATCAACGATTACTGAAAATTGAAACCTCGTAAAACTCTTTACATCAAGAAAAATCCAATACAATCGGAAAGGAAATCCATCATTTTATGAATTGTCAAGCTAACCAAATTCAATAATGTACAGATAAGACTAGATGAAAAACTCTCTGGCAAACATAATCACACGACAAATCAAATACTTGAAGCCTCCTGGCATCTCAGCTTGATCGCCTTTTTTATTTATACATAGCCATACAGTTCATGTCCGTCTACCACATAAAACTCATTCGCCATAGTTGTGTATGTTTATCTGGTTGCTTGGTGGCAAAAAAAAATATACAGCCAAAATACGACCAGAAAATTTCAGCTGCTGGTTAAGAATTGCATTCAACCAACAATCAATCAGTTGATTAAAAAAATAAAATTTTTGGCTGCTGCTACTGCACATCTCTTTACAAGTATCACAATTCAATCTACGGCATTTTCTGTTGCATTCTTTTCTACTTTCTCTTTAAAAAAAGTTGTGTGACTGAGTGTTGTTTTCATATAGACCAATTCTAGCAAAACAATAAAAAACCCATTCACTTCTCTATTTGATGCAATTCTATGACTAGATGTGTGTAGAAGTCTTGTATGAAGCATGTTTATTTTTTTAAAATTTTATTCTTGTTATCTTTTATATTCTAAATTTTTAATTAATACTTATGTTATTCATTTCTTTGATCAGTTCCATGTCCTTTTCACTAGGATTATGGCCACATCATGTATGATTTATAACTGGTACTGAATTGTCAGTAAATATTCATCAGTTAATAGCTTAAAGTAATGGTGATCGATTCATTCGAACAACAAACAATCGATGGACATGGCTGATTGATTTTGTTATCATAAAAGATTAATTTATTCATTTTAATCAATTCGTCTCATCAAATTTTATTTTTTTCATCTAATAAACGTTTTATCCATCAAAATCTAAAAGCCCATCAACAAATTCAAAAATGTTTAAATGTATACCCATATTTCGTGGCTGCAATCGCCAAATCGAAGTAATCGATAAACGCCATAGTAGCTTGCCAATTGTACCGGAAGATATATTCCGTTATGCACGAACATTGGAAGAACTTCAGCTTGATGCCAATCATATTCGTACATTGCCTAAGGTATGTGTTCATTTTCTTCAAGATATAGAGATGAAAATTTCATTTAACAAATAGTTAATTTGAGATTAATGTGAGATTGTTATCTTGATAAATGATATAGGGTGAGGTGATTTTTTTTTTGTTATTGTTCATATTTATGATCATGACAGTGCTTTGTTCCGCTCAAAGCATGGGCGTGAACTGTCAAAATTCATCGAAATACCCTTTTTCACTCGCTTTACGTCTTCTTATTTGATGATTATAAATGAATTTTTTTTTACTTTTTATGGATAGGTTTGTTTTAATGAAAAAATTTTATTTTCCATTAATAGACCTTGTGATAATTCAATCCAATTTTTTCTATACGATGATTAAGATCCGAATTTCGATAACTCAATCTTCAATTGACGATTAGCTTTATTGTAATCGTTTCATGAATATTCGATGATTGATGTTTGCATTAGATCTTTTTATAATCATAATGTTTACCTTATGAAAACATTTCGCGCCCATAAAACAACAACATCTGTCCCTTCACATTGATTATACATAATTATTAGTACATATGTTGCAGATTTCGAGCCATTCATTCAAATTGTTGAGGTAGAAAACCAAATTGGCTTATTTGTTATTGTTTCAATGTTTGATGCATTCTGTTTTTTTTTCGTGATAACTTTGAACACATAGAACTCATCTAAATTTTTTTCCAGTTTTACATGTGAAATAAAATAACACGAATAAAAATAAAATCTGTCAAATGTCATAATTTTTGCAAAAAAAATGATGAACAACAAGTTTAAATGACTTTGTTATTTTAGTTTTTGCCCTAAAAAATGCAAATTTCTGTCATAAATTTGATTTAAAATGATGGCTTATAAAATTGAATTTTTCAATCAATAAATGAATATGGTGTTTTAACAAAAGAATCGACTCGGATATTTATTATCCTTATAGAATAATACAGACAATAATGCGTTTTATTTTGAAATAGCATTTTGATCCATCACTATATTTATTGTTTTTTTCCGTAATAATTTCTTGTCTGTCATTATACACTGAGTCTGTAGGTTTTAAGTTCAAGATCTTTCTCATGTTCACTTTTCCTATTGTTCATAGCGTTTTATAATGTCAACACAACAATAACGATTAAAAAATAATTGAGAATTTTTTGTTTAAAAATTTAAACACGCCCACTGTTTTTTAACTAATAAAATTTTAACTTTATATTTTATTCACTCTTTTAGACAGAATTATAGAGAAAAAAACCCATTAAGTATTTTCATAATTAAATTGAACCATGGTTCCACCACATAAAGCAATTTTTTAAACGATAAGATTCAAATTTTCCCCTCTATTTGCTCACTAATTTTAGACAGTTATAACACAATTCAAATGTTTCACATTCGAATTTGATTATTTATTTCCGTAATAGTAAAAATTTATCACGTTTTGTTTTTAATCGTTTAAATAATGAGATGATAAGTTTAGCTTACTTGTCATGTATCGTGTAAATCGTTAATCATCAAGTTTTAAAAATTGGATGAATTTATAATTGTTTGTTTGTTTGTTTGTTGCTATTGCCGGTGGTAAACTCCCCATTTAATATCGTTTTCATTTGTTTATATTCAATTTAGTTTAATAAGATATTTTCGTGCTTCAGAAAATATTCCAATTGAATTTACAACTGACAAGCTGGCTAAAATATTTTAACAATATACTTTCGATTGATAATTTATTTTTACTTTGGGCGAAGAGAAAGAACAAAAAAACTATAGTATTTTTAGACATATATTTTGTCAGGATAAAAAAAAGTCGACTGTCATCATCACTATGATATTGTCATAATTGAATGCATGACATCGTCGATCACCAATTACGGGCACAGATGATAACAATAAAAACAACCGTTATGAATTGTCGTTTCATTTTTTTCCTAATACGAATGACCTTTAGAATTTTTTTTATCAATCGTCTGCTGATCAAGTTAAAAAAATTCAATTTTGTCCATGTCATTTTTACATTGACAATCTAAATTGAAAATTATTGGATTTGATGCTGAAAGTAGTATTATTTCTTGTTTCGATGGCTGAACTATCAATTTTCATTAAATTTCATTCCATTTTCAACAATAATTATTTTGATGACTATGATGAAAAAATGTGATCAAAAAAAAGCTTTTCTACAATGCTACAAAGGATAATACTCTGTATCAGTCTTCGGGTCGATTTGTGACTAAATTGATATGTGTCAATTTTACTTTCATAAATAATGAAATGTTTACATTCAATTCAATCTCTTTTGCACGTAATTTTTGGCACGTTTATTTTTCGAAAACTTTGTACACAAAAATATTTTCTGTAGTTTCTGTAGTTTATAGTTTATAATTTCTTACTACTTAAAAAAATTTGAAAATTCTTGTCATGAATTATTAAAAATGATGTTAGAGAGAAAATTTTGTTATTGCCATTAAAAAGATTCATCTGTTTCTGACATGAATTTTGATATTTTGTTCTAAACTAATAATTTATTTATCGCCTTGGCTAATGAAGAATTAATTTTTCAACCATCCAACACACAGTCCAAAACACAAATAAAATTGAAATTATATTTAATTGATTTTGTTATGTTCTTTATCAAAATTATCATCAGGAATATATTGATGTTACATTTTTCGATTATGATAATTTAATCACAAATTTTTGATTTATTCTTTTAGGGCATGTTTCGGCTGGTAAAGCTACGAAAACTGACACTAAGTGATAATGAAATATCACAGATACCATCAGAGATAGGAAATCTCAACCAATTAGAAGAGCTAAATGTATCTAAAAATGAAATTATTGAAATACCGGAATCAATCAAAAACCTGAAAAATTTACAAATTGCTGATTTTAGTTCAAATCCGGTTCAAATGTGAGAATCATTGTGTTCTGTTTATATTAATTGTGACATATTTTTCTCTTTTTCATAGACTTCCGATGGAATTCAGCCAATTACATGCATTAAAATCATTAGCATTAAATGATATTTCTTTACAACAGCTTCCCAATAATTTTGGCTCATTGCAGAATCTTGAATCGCTAGAACTGCGTGATAATCTAATTAAAAAACTTCCTCCGACATTATCTATGTTGGTCAATTTAGAACGATTAGATTTGGGTGCCAATGATTTCAGCGAGTTACCCGCAATGATTGGCCAATTACCTAATTTGCAGGAATTGTGGCTAGATCAAAATGAACTTTCCACGTTGCCTAAAGAAATTGGTCGGCTAAAAAAGCTTTCTTGTTTGGATGTCAGTGACAACCGCCTGGAATATTTACCCGAAGAAATTTCGGGTTGCGAATCGCTCACAGATTTGCATCTATCTCAGAATCTTCTTGAAACTCTTCCTGATGGCATTGGGCAGCTAAGTAAATTGACCATATTCAAAATTGATCAAAATCGCCTCGAATCATTGAATCCAACAATCGGTGGTTGTTCTTGTTTGCAAGAGTTGATTCTCACCGAAAATAAACTGACAGAATTGCCTCCAACAATTGGAAATTTGGTCATGCTTACAAATTTTAATGTCGATCGAAATTTCCTCAGAGAAATTCCACCACAAATCGGCAATTTAACCCGTCTTGGTGTTCTTTCGTTTCGAGAAAATCAAATAACATTCATTCCAGCAGAAATCGGCCAACTTAAAGAACTTCGTGTTCTAGATATATCTGGAAATAAGATTTCCTTTCTTCCTTATTCAATTACTGCATTAAATTTGAAAGCCCTTTGGTTAGCCGAAAATCAATCACAACCATTGTTAAAATTCCAGACGGATTTTGATGAGAATACTGGACAAAAAATTCTCACTTGTTTTCTATTGCCACAACAAGATTTTAAAACTGATTTACAATTCGGTACGTAATGAAATTTTTCGTTTTTTTTTCACTGTGATTAATTTTTTTCTTAAATAGATGCATTTGAAGAAAATTCGCTTGAACGTGTTAATTCATTAAATTGGGATCAACCGCGACACTCTTCCGTTAAATTTGATGTTGATCTAGATGACGAAGATGGTGATGATGATATCGATGATGATAGTGACCCATTGATTTCTGGGTCTGGAACCGGTGCCGAACCAAATTTTGTTCGTCACGATACGCCACATCCGCGTGAATTGAAAGCTAGACATTTGAAATTATTTGCTAATCGTGACGATAATTTCCCGCAGCAAAATCAGTCGAATACTTCACACGTTGCTTGTGGTGATCAGAAAGAATCTAGCGTTGATCAGAATGACGAACAAGAAATGCAACATCGTTTAAAAAATCATTATCAAGATACGGATAATAGCTCACAATCTTCTGTCATAATTAAAGATGATGATACAAATGCCGATGAACCAATCGAACCAATGGAACAAAAACCTGTTCAGTCAGCTGCAACTGCAGCTGTTGTCGGTAGTGGTGGTTCTTATTTCCATAATCGAGCTTTTCAAGATTTCATAAACGGCTCTGGTCTCGATTCCACTGTAGGTGATCAAACTAAAGAATCCGTTGTCCACACCGATTCAAATCATGCAAACCTTACGCAAAAAGTTAGTCGTCATGTTGGTTTTGAAAAAGATTCAAGCATTTCATCAAACACTCAATCATTAAACTTGATCGATTCTAATCAAAATCCTCCTGAAGATCGACAAGAGGAAGATGAGGATGTCCCGGTAGAGAAGCTGAATACAAGATTACATCGTCGAGATACACCACATCATCTTAAAAACAAACGTGTCAATACAAATTCAACAAAAGAAGAAAAAGAAAAAATTGTAAATATTTTATCCAAAACGAATGCGGATAAACCTCAGCCGCCAATACCAGTAAAACCTGCTCTCGAAATTCAAAATGGTCCAATCGTGACCAATGTGACCAAAGAACTTCGTTTAAAATTGAAAAAACATGGTCAATCAATGGGCTTGTCAATTGCAGGTGGTCTCGGTTCCTCTCCATATAAAGGTGATGATGAAGGAATTTTCGTATCACGTGTCACTGAAAATGGTCCTGCGGAAATCGCTGGACTTAGAGTTGGTGACAAAATTTTGGCAGTGAATGATTATAATTTTTCACGAATCGACCATCATGATGCTGTTCAGCAACTAAAATCAGCTGGCGAAGAATTTTGGTTATTAGTCGAACGAGAAATAGTTACCAATCATTCGACTTCTATACCAACTACAGCATCATCAATCGTAACAAATAAAGTGCCTCCAGTTCCTCCCGTTCGAACATCAGTCATATCAAAAAGTTCGAACAATTCAAATGATAGTACACATCAATCTTCAGACGAGCCGCTTGAACCGCAGCAATTGAAATCGGTCCTACGACCGCCTATTGGAGATAAAAAATCATCAACATCATCTTCAGTTTCAACTTCACAACTTCCGTCCACGGCTGCTAAACCTGTTCCATCAAAATTGAATTTGAATCGACATTCATCTGGAGATATTGGCAATACTGTTAATCCATTAAGTCAACAGCTAGGAAAAGAAATCATTTACACAACATTAATTCGTAGTGAGGGTGGTCTAGGTTTCAGTATAACATCTGGTAAACCAGGCATCAAAGATGATGATTCTAATTTGCCAAACGATGATGGCGTCTACATATCTAGGATATTTGAAGGTGGTCCTGCCGAATTGGATGGCAAACTAAAAGTTGGCGACAAAATTCTTTCCATCAATGGTATTAGTTGTGATGGTCTTGATCATGATCAAGTGATTGGTATAATCACTGGTCTTGAAAGATTTGTTCGTTTGGTTGTCGAACGTGAAGGCGTGCCGGTTACGGAAAAAAATCTTCCTTATCAGCAATATTCTACAGGCCTGACGTATTCATCCAACTCGTACATGGCCAATAGACCGTCATATACTGGGTCTTATCGACGACCATTACTTGGCTCGGTATCGAGCCTTTCACATTCTAATGCATTAGATAGTGGATTAACTGGTTCAGCTGGTACTATCTCCACTCCATCAACACCATCATTTACTCATGGATCCAAGCCATTGAGCTCTATCTTTAATGCTAAATTACCTGGTCTTCGTTGCAATACCGATTCAAATCCTTATTCATCATCATCAACTAATCGATCTATTAATAATCGTTTTAATAGTGCCTTGAACAATCCATCACTAGCATCAACAGCTTTAATAAATCATCCATTGAATAAATCTTCATGCCGAAGTTCTTCCGTTCCTCCGCCACAAAATCGGCCCCTCACATTAGCTCGATCATCCGTTCCAGATGACAATGGTAGGATTTTACCCTTATAAATCATTTTTTGATAAATTTTGGTTTTTAGAATCAAATTGTGCTGGTGGTACTTTGATTGCAAATAACATAAATAATGGCAAAATGACTACTGACACAACTTTAACAGAACAATTTCCACCTGCACCAAATGATTTGGGAGTGTTTACTGAAGTATTAACAAAAACTACCTATACAGAGAATACCGTTACACGAGTTACGAATAATTCTAATATGGCACTCCCAACGATCGAAGAGGTTTGTTTTTTTCAAGATGGTTCAATTTACTAATATTTGAAATCAACTTTCCCAAACGCAGACAATTGTTATCAGAAAAAATGATGGCGGATTGGGGCTTAGTATTATCGGTGGCTCTGGTATGTAATCATTCCTGTTAAATGTGGATTTATTTTTATTTTTTATTTCATTTTATTCAGATCATTCCTGCCATCCTTTTGGCAATAATGGCCGTGAACACGGAATATACGTTTCGAAAGTTGTTGCCGGAGGAGCAGCTTCACAAACAAAACTTCGTATAGGAGATCGCATTCTTGAAGTGAATGGTCTAGATATGACAAATGCAACACATACTGAAGCTGTTCAAGCATTAACTTCTAGTGTCAGTTCATCACCTAATGAAGTGACATTGAAAATCCACCATGAACCTTTACCACCAGGTTGGAAGGTATGTTGTCCGTTTTTGATCATAACTATCATTCACTAATTATTTTTATCATTTCAGGAATTTATTATTCATAAATCGCCTAGCGAAAAATTGGGTATGAAAATCAAAGGCGGTGCGAATGGTCAGCCAGGAAATCCTTTTGACCGAGAAGATGAAGGAATATTTATATCACAGATAAATCCTGGTGGTGCAGCTGCACGGGATGGACGTTTGAAACCTGGCATGCGAATCATCGAAGTTAATGATGCTAGTTTATTGGGTGTTTCTCACCATCAAGCCGTTCAAGAATTAAGAAATCAAGGCCTTCGTATTCGTGTTCTTGTCTGTGATGGTTATGATCCACTTGTTCCTATAGCAAATAATGAGAATAATGTTAATAATAAAAATACTGATAATACTATCAGTAATTTGATCGTAAATAATAATAATCATCATCAATCACAATTCAGGCCTGAATCATCATCATCATCTATGTCAAATAATAATATCTCTTCATCCGAAAACACACCTGTTATTTCTCCAAAACAGACCAATTCGTTTGATGATCAAGATTCGGTGTTTGCTAATACGCCAACCAGTCCATCGTTGTCGAACAAACATCAATCGACTTCAGAGCAGAAAAAAACGACAACAGTCATAATGAAAAAACACCAGACAATGGTAAGCCAATTACTAATCTATTCTTTAGCTTCTTTTATTTTCTTATCCTAATACATTGTTTTTTATGTTATTATCTTTTCTCACTGTTCTTTCGGTTTTCATTTTTTCGATCTTTTCCACTACAAACGTAGAGCTAGTGCCTTTTAACTATAACTTTCATTATAACTGTTGAGCTGTATAATTTTCGTTTGCTAATCTCTTTTTTTTTAATATTCCGTTGTATGATAAATTATATGATGACCTCTATTCTCCTCGCCTTTTGCTTGTAATTTGATTTTGGTCTCCTAATGATTTACAAATAATTACATCCGCTTACAAAACCGTGATACCATAGTCATCGCCATCAATTGCCAGGTCACCCATCAATCCACCAACAGAAAATCCATTATCAACATCAGAATCGTCACCAGCATTAGATCCGCTTTTGACATCAAAAATACCTGGAGCCAAGCCACCAGTTCCACCGAAAAAACCGGACTTATTATTGAATGCTATTAATAGCAATAAAACAACTAATTTGACACCAAACACCAAATTGGAGCATCCCGAATGGATGTCATTTAGTGAAAAGAAACGCCATTTTGAACGCGCTACAAGTCCAAATTCACAGCAATCTGGCCAGCATTCATTGTCAACTTCACCTCCACAGCCTAATCATCATCAACAACAAACCAAAGAAACGATCACCAAGACAGAACGTTACACCGATACACCTGATGCTGAAATAACGACCAAGGAAACATTGCGCAAAGTCGAAACCTATTCGCAATCTCGAAAAGAAATATTTCTCTCTAATGAAGAGCTTCAACAAATCAAAGACAACGTACTTGATTCATCAAAGTATTTGGCCAGTCATGATCATGATGATGATAATGATGAAAATTTCGATGAATTTGATAATAATAGTCCTTTTGATGAGGAAAGAAAAGAAATTTTCTGCAAAGAAACGACTACTGAAGATGGCGTGACTAGTGAACATCAACAAAAACGAGTGTTTCGAACAGCCAAAGCCGAAAAACGATACATTGAAAAAATGTCAAACTTGGGTATTGATATACAATCGCAAGAATATGCTTGCCTTTCCCCTGGTCAACGCCGAGCATTAGAAGCGGAAAAACGCCGTGAATGGCGCCAAGCACGATTACAATCGTTGGAAGAGGATGCTCGACGTACTTTGATACAGTTTCAAAACAATCATCCAACTAAAGAGAATATTATTGAACCATGAAATGACATTCAATCAACACGGGCAGCTTTTTCATGTTAACCAGTCGATATCATCGTGCTTGTTTTTATTGTTGTTGTTGTTGCCAAAGACAGAAAAATATTTCATCATATTGACAAAAAAAAAACAACAATGGATTAATTATCCATTCTTATTGCATCATTGGTTTTATCACTTATCTATATTGTGAAATATTTTATCCACTTTTCCATCTTACCTTAATTTTGTTATCGTATTTTTTTTCCTTTTTTTTGGATGAACATTCTGTACAAAAAAACAACCAACATTTTTTTTCTTTTTTGGCATCTGATCATTGTCATTATATTTTTATCCCATTATACACCCATTTCCTTATTTTTCATATTGTTTTTTGTATGTGCCGTTGCTTCCTGTTCATTTTAGCCCCGGAATTATTTTTAATCATTAATTTACCCCAGCCAACAATCCGAGACTTATCTTTTGGTAATCAAACATTGAAATTTTTAAAAAATGTACGACGAAATTTTAAATATTTTCAATTAACTAAATATTAATTAAAAAATTATTTATGTTTTTTAAATTACTACAATTTTGATGATTCGCTTATTGAACGATTTTTGGTGCCAACAAATGATTGAAAATCTCTCGAGATCTTGCCGACTTGAACATCACAATAATTTTTTAATTTAAATTTTTTTTTTTTTTGAAATAATTAATTCGGTTTTTTTCAGTTGTTTCATTACCTCGAATTTATTTTTCATAATGTCTGGCAAGTTTTTCAAAACTACTTTGGTATTTATGTCCGAAATTCAATACACTTGTAAATCCAAAAGGATTTACTCAAAATTTGCAAGATCAACATGAGTTTTTATTCTGTTAAATATTATTCGACTGATTTTGACATGGAATCGTTTTCATAATAGTCACATGGACATGTTTGGAATATGCATAATACAATTTTATTAGATCAAATAATGAAATTTAAAATTCAAATTCACAATTCAACGTAAAGCCTATGATGATGATAAAGCCATTTGTTTGACGATCGTTTTTTTTTGCATCAAATCTAGTGTCACAAAAATTCAAATTCAAAACAAATATAAATAATTTATTCACGACTCTCTGCTATTATTTGTTCAATCCTTTCTTGATAAAAATGTTGAATTTGTTTTCTTTTTAATTTGAAACTTGCGGTGACTAAACCATTTTCAGCAGTCCATTCGTCCTCTACCAATAAATAATGTTTAGGAATTTCATATCGACGTAGACCATTTAAGCGGGCATGTATTTGCATCTTTTTTCTGAATATTCGCAGTATTTTTTCATTTTCTAGATTACAATTTTCATGTTCATTTTTTTGACATTTGGTGACAATTTGTCTTGTCCAAATTCGTTCGATAGCTTTTTTATTTGGAATAACTAGAGCGATCAAATGATCATGCAATGAATCAGCGAGCACGCAGATTTGATTGACCAAATACGAAGTTTTAAGTTTTGTTTCCACTTTACTAAGGGAAATATATTCACCAAATTGAAGTTTGATGAAATCTTTTTTTCTGTCTATTATCTTGAAAGAACCGTTCGGATACATTTCACCTATATCACCCGTTCGAAACCATCGATCGCCTTTGTGATCTTCATAATAGGCTTCGCGATCTACATCTTTTAATTTGAAATAACCGACCGACAAGGATTCACAGGATAAATGAATTTCGCCACGTGGATTTGGTTCATCGGTTGTTGTGTAACCACCTTCCGTCCAATCGACTAATTTGATTTTGGTTCCAAATTGAGGACCACCAACTTTTCCCAATGAGTAATCATGCGGATCCATGAACAAACCACCACCAACAGTCTCGGTTGAACCATAACCTTGTATAAAAATGACGTTCATACAAGATCTGATCAATTTCTGAGTGTCTGAAGACAATGGTGCACCTCCCGATAACATGCCCATCAGATTGCCCCCCAATATCTCGTTGAACTTACGAAGAAATATTCGGTCCAGCAAAGGTGTTTGAAAACCTTTTGCCATCCAAAAATATTTGTATTCAATAATGAATTCAAATAATTTAACAGCAAACAACCCACGCTGATTCAGTCTTGTCAAGATGGCTTTTCGTATCCTATCTAAAACTAATGGAACACAGGCCATAACTGTAGGTCGCAACAATGTTGCATCTCCTTTACAGCCAGCCATCAATCCTGCACTCATATCGGTTAATGTATGCGGAGTGGAATAACCAATGCGCGCTCCAAGTAAAATGACAAATGTTTCGACACCAAATTCCAGAATGTGTGCTAATGGCAGATATGCAATATAAATGTGACGACGAGTTTCGTGCAAGAAAAACTCGAGTAATCCAATACAACCTTTAAACAATCCCATGATATTTCGTTGTGTCATTAGAACACCTTTGGGTCTGCCACCAGAACCGGATGTGTACATAATGACTGCTAAATCATCTGGATCATTTTTCGAAAAAACAAAATCTTTTTTTCCAGCTTGTAGGATCTGTTCATAGGTGAAAAATTGGACGTCATTTTGGTTATTGTTGTTTAATTCCAAATTCAAATTTTCAATGTCTTTATTCTTTTGATTTTCCATGTGATCAAGAAGAATAATATAACGTAATTGCTGAAAAATCTCATCTTTATTCGGGTGTTTGATCAATTTTTTGAGAAGTTGATTCGTAGTTACAATGACTGTTGTTTCACATTCTTTGATTGCATCATAAACTCCTTGATTATCTAGGGTCGGATATAATGTTGCTACTACAGATCCATTTTTTATAATGGCTTGGGCTGCTATGAACCATCGATAACTTGTTTCAGCATAAATTATGATTCTGTCTCCTTTTTGAGCTGAAAGCATTAGACGTAACGAGCTGCCAAATCGATTGATAGATTGTATTAGTGTTTCCCAAGTCATCCATTGGTACTCGCCCAATTTGTATAGACATGGTATATTTATGTCATTTTGTTTGTTCGATTCACGATCGAGAATAGGACGCCAAGCCAAGCATGGATGTTGTGGTCCGAACACTTTATAACCTTTTATGAATGCTTCATCCAATGTTTGACAATCGTTGAGATAAAATTCGGGTAGATGTGTTCGGGTTGATTTTCGAACCAATTCATCAGAATAATCATCATCTTGAACTGAACGATCTTGATATATAAAAGGCCATAGATGCCATGGTTTATACCATAATAAATAGATAGGTAGAGTGACGATATCAAACACAATGGTCAATGTTGCTACACACAAAACAACGATTCGTATCACTTGTTGCGGCAAAAATTTTTGCCATATACGTTGTAGTCGTTTCCACATGTTTTAGATCACTTTGACTTTAAGAATACGATTGATCAAACCAATATGTCACGATATTTCAAACAAATTTCATATCGACTAAAGCAATCGAGATTGTTTTTTTCAACTGATCAAGATAGCTAATGAACAAAAGAAAATAATAAATAACAAATGGATTGTTTGCAATTATGATGACGCGCCGGTTGTGTAACACACGCCAAGATGTAATTTTTTCGCTCCAAACATCGTTCATTTATATTAATAATTTTTTTTCGTTTTACTCTTTGTTGATTATAATCAATTGTAATCACTCAACTGGAACCAAACTAGCTTCTTGTTTCATTTTCTTTTCTTTTTTTGACAAATCTCAAATATCATTTCTTCGGTCTATTCGGTCTTATTCAACAATTAATTATATTTTCTCTAGGAAGCCATCGATCATGTCGATTGTATTGCGGAATTCGTTGGAAATTTTTGACCAAATAACAGTTATCTACATCGGTCATTGGGCTATGAAAATTATGTCTTTTTGGTTATTAAAAAAAATTCACATAAATACTTGGACAAAGAATTAATGAAATTTGAATTATTAATAGTACTCATTTTGCTCGTATATTTGAAAAATATTTAGATTTTCATTCATTTTTTTTCATAGAAGGTAATGTGATATTCTATAACTCACGATCATACAATCATTGCTAATGGAGATTTGGTGATAATCATAATTTGGCTGTCATCATGAGTTAGGCAAACAACAACAACAACAAACTTATCACTCTCTGACTATCTATGGTTACAATTATATTTCATGATTTGAATGACTGTGATAATTTGACCATATCGATTAGTTTGATATTGAATCAGACACTTATTTAAATGGTCGAATGATTTGATGAACTGATTAAACTATTTAACTAGGCATAAAGCCGGTTGAATTTTCTCATTTTTTTTACAATTTAATTGCTGTTTATTTTCAACAAGTTTAAACACAGTAATTGATTTTCAAAACGTTCTTATCATGGAAATAAATAAATTTCTCTTTTTTATTCTGACCATTTGTGTATTGGTTCGAGCCGATAGAATTCTTGATTTGATTGAATTACGACCATCGTCGATAGCATACGATCAACCTACAATTTGTCAATTGAACGAAAATGAAGTCAAATCATTGCTGACTTTGTCCGAACAATCAACAAACAATCAGAAATCTATTCTGATTAGAATTCATGAAAATGAGGACTCTTTCATCAATGATATTCGATCACAATTATCTGCATTGGGTTACCGAGTTTGTTCATTCGAATCATCACATGAATCGCTTGTTGTTGCTAATATAACGATTGTTAATAATGACGGACATGTCATACCTTATTATGGTCGCCGTGATCCATCAACATTGATTCGTTTTCTTGCTCATTTGGAACAGCGTATTTCTAAATCACCATATCATACGATTAATGGCAAATTAGACAAGAAAGCTTATGAGCACGTGCTGGAGCCTAAAATAATCGCTTATTATCCCGACATTACAGCGCCAGCATTTACGCAATTTCAACAAGCTGCCAAACTAATGGCTCCTAGTCCTCCATTTTTTGTCGTACATGACCCACAGGTAAATGTTTTGTCGACATTAGTCAATTCACCTTCAAATATTCGATTTCAATGTTATTTGCAATTTAAATAATTATCATTTAATAACACTTACAGCTTGCAGCCAAATTTCGACTCAATCAACCGGGACAAATATCTTTAGTTCGTCGTTTAGAAAAATCTCAAATATTTTTTCCTTCACCAACATTGTCAATGATGTCATCGGAACAAACGCAGACTATTAATGCTCAGGATATTATTCAATGGATTCAAGAAAATCGTGGACTAGTGATGCATGAACTCAAAGATACCAATCTTTATGAACCGGAGATTCATGATCCTAACAAATATCAAATGGTTGCAGTTGGTGACAAATCATCGCCACTTGGTTTGTATTTTTACAAGATTCTCACTAAAACCATACAAAATATTAGTCGTGAAAATGAAATGAAATTGAATCATCCGTTAACAACTGATGATAATGTCAATGAAGATGAAGATATAACGAATTCTGATGCACAAGCTGACATTCAGCCAAATGAACCCGTTGATTTAATTCGTTTGGACGATGTCGAAATTGTGTGGATCGATTTGCAACAATTTCCTTCAGCTTCATTAAACTTACAAAAATTATTTCAAATCGAACCTGTTCAAAACGTTTGGTTCGGTCTTATTCATTCGCCACCAACGGCCATTGCTACTCAAGGCTTGGATTCAGTATGGTTTGATTTGAATGGCTTGAATTTGACTAGAAGTGATCGTCAAACCGACCAGGCAAATATTTGGCTAGTTCGTGATTGGATCCTATCGGTTACCGATCGTGAAATGAAATCTGTTACCAATAATTCATCAGCTGGTGAACCAAGTGCTTTTGTCTTAGAACCTGAACCAGTTTCTGTGCGACAAGGTGGCAATTTCCTACTTGAATGTCAAGTTCTTCCTCATTTAAAATGCAGTTGGATGAAAGATTCTCAATCAATTGTTGTTGATGATGTTAATGGTTCCCGGTATCGCTATGCTATTCCAAGTCGTATTGGCGGTGATTGTAGCCTAATGGTAAAAGGAGCACGAATTGAAGAAGATCAAGGAGAATGGACATGCTTGGTAGAAGGTACAACAGAAAAATCTATGCCTATCAAAGTGAATGTTCGATATGATACAAAAACGGAACTATAATTGTTTTTTATCAATCAATAATATTGTGATTTGAATCGTTGGTTTTTATTCTTGATTTAATAAACCTGAAAATAATGAATGAGATGAAAAGACTTTGTTGTTTTAATTGAGATAAATTCCTGAGAATAGTAATTGATTGGTTTAGATTAATTTGATAAATAGCAAACTAATTAAGTAAATGGCCTTTATTTAGTATAATTTAGAATTTGGCTTCATCTTTTGTTGTTGGTTGAATTCAAAACTTTGGAATTAAAATTAGGTTTTTTTTAACAAACATTCTTCGAAAGAAATTAAATTCCAAATTGGGCAACTTTTTCTGAATTATTAATTGATTGACCCATGATTGAATATTTATAAAATTTAAACTTTAAATGAATATAATAAAAATTGCCTAATGATTGGTTTTGTGGTTGATCTAAACAAACTACAGATGAATCAACTGTTTTGTAATTCGATTCATGACGTTGGCCATTGTGGATTTCATATCCAATTATTATGCCATAATTTTGATAGAATTTCAGGTTTAGAAAAAAATTGTCCTGAATAATTCGAAATTCTTTTTTGTTCTTTTCTGCCTTCATTGTTTATTTATTCATTTCTCTAAAAAAAATAATTTTTATTTTCATTTCAATTTCTATATCCGCCCATAATCATCATCATCATCAAACTTTAAAAAAAATCACTTAAACATACATTTCCGATTTTGAAATTTGTGTTTTTTGACAACAACAACAAAAATATTCATCATAAATTATATTATTTAAATGTTTTTGTTCCGAAATATATGAAATCTATCATTAAAGGATCGTTTATTTACGATTAAATTTCAGTTTTTCTTTGGAAAACGACCGTTCAATCATGAAACACACGCACCAAATTCGCTAAACAGAGCTAATCATCAAGCTATTTATGATGTTCGACGCATGAGTTCCAAAATATCATAACATCCAATTTAAGAATCAGTCTCCGCCTTCATGTTGCATCTCAAATTCGAATGGCCATATCAGATCAAAGATCATATAAATAGCGATCATTGAAATGGGCCATATTATAATCTCTATCAATCTGTATCTGACTAACAAAAGCGGCAAGTTGCAAAAAAAATTTATTTGCAATTATTTGGTAAAAAATGTCAACGGAAAGTTTCTCGTTGACCTTATTGATTATGGTCTTTAGCATGATGATGGCAAACATTTGTGCCTCATCACCTTCGCCATCTTCATCATCAATGGGTGAAGATATCGCACAACAACAGACGCAATTACCTGGCCAACAATGTACACCGATCGATGTTCAATGCAATCCATCAACGATGATGTCACAAAGATCAAATCCTATATCTTTTCAACTATCAGAACCATCTCTTTCCGCATTATCTTCTATTTTTTCGATACCATCGTCACTATCTTCAAACCAAAATCCTGCTTCATTAACTATTGAATCAAATAATGATGGCGATGGGCCCCAAGAATCGCAACTGCAATCGATAAGAATTCAGGAACCAATCGATTTAGATTGGTTCATGAATCGAATCCCACAGCAATCACACCAAAAATCACTTTTATTGTCAGGTTCATTACCGATCACTGCATCAAAATTAATTCGAGCGTTAATGGTGAACAATGGCAAAAGTGACGGAACAAATTCAATTCAATCACCATTATCATCTTCATCGGTGGATCGTCGAGTGGCTCGTACACCGCTGTTGAATATGGCCAATCGTTTTGGCAAACGAGATAAACTACGTATGTCAAATCGTTTTGGTCGCTAAACTCAGACCATTTTGGGATTTTTAAATATCAAGAAAAAATTCAACAAAATCTTTTCACACCAATCATTCATTCATACATTATCATCATCTCAATACACTGAAATAAAAATCTAAAATAACATTTTAAAATATGATTTTTTAAATATGGGTGTTAATAAATTTATCACACACGCACACATGAATCAAATCAAATATTTCTTCATATCAACTTAAACAGACAGATCATTTCAAAAGATTTGAAAGCATTAAATATAACATTAATTCATACACAAATTTTATTAAATTTAATGAAAGAAATTGATTTAAAAGAATAAAGTTGAAATAAAATAAATGGAATAATTATTCAAACGACAAATTTATGCTTTCGGATTACAAATCATTTGATGTGATCATTTGCATAGATTGATTATTTTGTTCATTGCTCGTTATGGTCACTAGTCAATCTTGTTTTGCCTGTTGTTTAGAGGGACCAAGAATCTTTTTCCGTTGCCCCAACATGTACAGATAAAGCTGAGGGAAAACTAAAAAAAAAGTAAAGAAAAATAAATTATACTATAAAATAAAATGAAATATACTTACAATGAAAGTAACTAAGCATGAATATTACACAATACATATCATAGTAAAATGAAAAATTCAATTTGTTTGGTAATTCTAACGTTAAAAATTTTCGCTGACGAATTTGTCGAAGTGCAGCGTATGTAGTAAGTAATTCACCAGAAACTCCAAGCGGATAAAGTGCGATAAATAACGTGTAACGAAGCCAAGTACAGATGTACGGAACGCAATCATAAATGTTCAAGGCATAGTACGAGTATCGTATACATTCAGCAATACACCAAGCGATCAATAACATCGGTACACCAATCGAATGACGAGCCTGAGACAATGGAATTAATATTCCCCAAACCAACATTAAACGAGAAAAAATTTGAGTGAATGTTGTGATTGGATTCGATCGAACAAAACCAATCATTGCATGGAAAACTTCAATCAATTGATAGGTTTGAAAAATAGTTATAATAGTTGAACAATTCTCCCATAATAGAAGATAATTATGACTTTCTGGTGAAAACAATAAGAACCGTACGGTCAAAAATAATCCATAGGCCCAACTATGGGAATAAGATTAAATCAATTCGATTATTCAAAAATTTAAAAAAGCAACAAACCCAAGAAATTGTACGGAATTATAGATGGCTAAATAATGTTTGACCAATGGTGATTGTTGTCGAGCTTGTGGTTTTTTTGTTTCCATTTCGGAATAAAAATCAATCGAGATCGACTGAGCTTATACAAATAAAAAATTCAAAATGATAAATTTCATAAAAGACAATTTAAAAAATAAGAGGAAAAATGATGTCTTTTGAAATAACCATTACACTGCCATTAGACAAAGTAAACAAACCTGTTTTAAGCAGAGTGTAAATTGCAACGTTAACAATAAAATTGCTCACTTTTGAACACGAGAAAGGAAAACGAATCGAATGACTATACTATCAAGCTATTATTATCAATGACGTTAAAATACGTCAAAGGATGTAATGCTGTTGAAAATATGAAAATGAATAATAAAAAATCGAACTTGACAATAAAAAGTATTTTTTATTTTCCAGTATTAAAAAAAACAAAACCGATTGAATCGATTATGAAAAACTGCAAATATTTTCACAATAAATCACATAAAGTGTCCATCAAAACTGGGTCCATGAGGCGGAGGCAAATGATCAGGATCGGGTCTATGTAATTTAGAATTTATCAGAAATTGATAAAATTCAAAAAATATGATTACCGAAAAAAACGAGCATCAGGAGTCGGTCCAATGGGATCATAACGAGCACCAGGCGGCACTGCACCACGTGGCCAATTCATTGGTGGACCACGTTCAGGTCGAAGACGATTTCCAGAAAATGGATCAAATATCATTCCTCCACCAATTCCATGTCCAAAAGGATCTATTTTGAAAAAAGTTATAGCCATGAATGTAATTAAGATATAGAAATACGAATTACCTAAATCGCCACGTCCAATTGGGGGATTAATCAAACGATTTGGATCATTTTCTAGAAGCGATCGAGGTTGAGCAGGAGTAGGAATAAATTTGGAAAATGGAAGATTACTGGGATCATCATGTGATGATGGATTTTCAGATGATGATGATGTTGCAGGAGGAACTATGGACTTTTTAGGGCAATTTAAATTGGGTATGTTTTGGCGAATAAATGTCGCCAGGCGATTCACCTTTTCATTATCAAAGGTTTCGAAAACCTGCCGATCGTCAGGATTGACAAATGTTTTTTTAGAAATCAAAAATCGATGTTTCTCGTTCTGAGAATCAGCTGTAACATCAGAAATGAGAACTTTAATTTTATCAGCATCACTTTCATCAGCAACACAATTCAAAAGAATGTTTTCTGTTTCTAAGATGGCCGAACGATAAAGTAAATTATAATGATTGCGATTGTTATTCCATCCGTTTGGTAATAATTCACTGCCAGGTATGTTCCGATATTCAGCTTTCAACTTTGAAAAAGAAAAAATAAGCGTTACATTTATTGCGACAAAATCGATTACCTGATTATCGACGGCGATGCATTTGAAATCAAAATCCTGTATCAAAATCCAATGTATGACCGATACAATTAGATCTGATGGATCTTTTAAAAGTGGTTTTATTGTTTGATAAAAGGTTTCGTATCCTTTCATTATGAAGCTGTCAATTTGATTTGTTTTTAAATTCGATTTTGTTGCGTCATGTTGTTGACAACAATTTATAAATGGCTGACAAAAAAAAAACAATTTTTAGAATTCATGCGCAGCAAAAACATAATAACATGTTATATTTGAATGATATCGAATGTCACCTTTGCAGAGCTAGATGGCTATAGTGTTGCAAAACATGTGAGTGAATACAGCTGTTTTGTTTACTAACCAAGGCTCAGTGTCGTTTATTGGGTTTTTTAATTTTTTTGCAACAACAAAAAGGTAACCATTAATTTTGATAAAATACATTATATCAATGAATCATTCTTTAAATTTTTTTTTAAGATGGCTTCAAATCAACTGGTCAAACATTTGGGAGGTAAAGTCAAGCCGGTATTATCATTAAATCAAACGGAAGCCAGGCGTCGTGTTTTGAATTTATATCGTGCCTGGTATCGACAAATACCATATATTTGCTATGAAATGGAACTGCCGGTCAATGATAAACAGATGCGCAATAAAGTTCGTGAATTATTTCTGGCAAATCAACATATAACTGATGTTCGCGTGATTGATATGTTGGTCATTCGTGGTCAAATGGAATTGAATGATACAATCAACAAATTCAAATCTCATATGCATGTGATGGCCTATTTTAATGAACATCAGAATCCTAAAGATTTTCTGTCGAAATTTTTGGCCGGTCATAGTAATGAATAGATTGAAAAACAAAAAGAAGTCTCGAAATAAATTTTATTTCTTGAAAAATGTCAAAATACATCCACCAACAGCAGTGGAAAAATGAATAAGATAATTATCCTCTAATGCTACTAATAATAATGATATATCTGATTGTCACATGTAAATCAATTTATAATAAAATTATTAGATTAAATAATTTTTTGATTTTTAGGAAATGTCCATTTGGTGTATACAATCGTGATCAATAAAGAGAGTGAGAGGAAGAACACTATCGATTATTGTTGGAAACATTTAAAGGTTTTTTTATTCTTTTCTCCATTATTCCTGATCAATGTATGTGAATGATGTTGCAGCAGCATCCAATCGAAAAAATCCAGGGGTGAATCCTTAATGGCGGCATACACATCGACATAATATGAGGAGGATAAGGGGCAATTGATGATTGTGGGGATGGGAGGGGGGCTTGTTTAGTGAAATCTGTGCTCAGTTCTATTGTAGCTCTTTTGGGCTGGTTGGTTGGCCTGGCTTTTGCATTTTTTTGGTTATTTCGGTGGCCGACTCGCGCGCACACCTCAGCACCACCATCAAATAGAAACAAACAAATAAAGAGAAAAAAGGCAGCCGAGTTTTCGGTGGAACGCTGGCCATCATTTACAATTACTGCTTTTGTCGAAATTGGTTGGTTCGTTCATTTACATTCGTTACCATCATTTATGCACTAAAAGTTTGATGTATGGTTTGGCTTTTGATAATTGTTTCGGTTTTCCATTTTTCATTGCTTTCTTTCTTTCTTTAGCTGTGTTCAGCGAATTTTTTCACAAAAATCGATAATCCACCAATTTTGGATTGAATACCGTAATCAAGGTAAGATTCATTTAATTCCATTTTGTAGTTTTCATTTCGATAATATATTCTACGTTTGTTTTCATTCAAATAATGTCGAATATAATACCGGCGTAATTTTCAATGATTATTTTTTGTTTGTGTGTATGTTTGTAAGCCATTTTATGTCCTGGTTTGATGATGATGGTATGCTTGTTGATTTTCTTTTCGAATCATCATTATTGTTTTGTTCAATCGATATTGATTTATGTATGCAGCTGGATCTGGATTTTTTGTTTCAATTTTATTTTCCAATTAAATGATTATATTCTTCAATGTAAATGAAAATTTTTTATCTTTTTTTCATCAATGGAAAAAATGTTGGATAGCAGACCATATTTATCATTATTATGATGATAAATATATAACGTATGCACACACTTTTTTTTATTATAAAAATAGGATATATTTTTGTTGTTGTTGATTTCCCTCAGTCAACCATCGATGATCAAAACGATCTTTTCGGGCGTCATGTTTATTTGATTCCGATTTATGTCATTGTTTATTGTATGTATTTCGCTGTGTGTTTGTGTGTATGTCACTATTTATTTAGCATGTGATAGCATTGAATTGCCAAATTTACACACACTCGTTTATTTGTCTTGGATTGTCTTTTGATTATCTTCCCTCTTTAAACATATACATTCCAATAGATCAAACTTTAATACTGAATCTGGTGTGTTTTTTTTTGTATTGGTAATGTCTATTCAGGCCTATTTTTTCAAATTTGCTTGACATTTTTTTCGTTTCTTTAGCATTTTATTTTGGAGAAGAAAGGGGGGTTGAAATAAAATGTCTTTGGACTTTTTTTTGTTATTTTAAAATTTATGAATTGTGTATGTGAAATCAATCGAAAAAATGCCTTAGAATGGTCAGTCCATTAGTTCTTGGGTCTTATTTTCTTCTCGTGATTTAACCACTACGACTTTTATGTTTAAAGAAAAAAAGTTGTCAATACTGAGAGAAAAAAAGTTGCTAGTGCTGTTGTTTTGGATTTAGAAGAAGCTATACCACAAAACGAGACCTAACTGGAAACTGAATTTTTCTTTGGTTTTTTGCACTTGATGATTTGACTTGTCTTTACTTCTTTGTTCTCGGTATGTTCACGAATAACACACACAAATACATACAAACAACTTTTTTCCTTCAATATCAACAGCTTGCAAATGTAAATTGAGAGACAAGAATAAGATTCTTTAAAATTTCTTTGAAAATATTAATAGATTCTTAGTAATTAGAATTTCATGTCATATAACTTATTTGATTGTTTGTTTGTGTGTCCAATCCTTCGTTTTTACAATAAGGTAAGTGTTCTTTGTAGTATTTGTTTCGAATAGAGTATCATGAATTTTTCTGGGCTTAATTCTGAAATTTTTGATTATAAACTCTGACCTTGTCTTCGTGTTTGTTCTCATTAATTGCTTTTTATGGTATCCTTATCCAAAACATGACATGGATAGATAGATGGCGCCCAGGTTGTTAATATTCAATAATGAAGTCCCATATAAACCAAAATGGCCATAATGAGCAACAATGGTAGTGTATTTTATAACAACCAAAATCACTTTTTATGAATGCAACAATAAAGGAAGATCAGACCAAACCATGACAGAAAATGATTGGCCAAAAGAAAAGGCGCGCAATTTTCAGCATCGCGCATGCTGTGCGTTTCGTTTTTTTCACAATAGAAAATTGCAACAACAATTTCATTCGGCGAACACTGATTTGAAAATTTTCTATCAATGAAAAAAAGAATCGTCTGCACGTCGACGCGTGTCAATTTAAATTTAGCCCTACCCATTTATTCACAGCTGATAATGCTACTACTATAATAGTATGAGTTGAGCAATTTTCATTCATTCATTAATGAAAATATTTTTTGTCGTCTGCATTTGTTTACATTTTTTTATGCGCGTCGTCTGATTGGTTACAAAGATTTTCTATGACGTCAATGGTAGTGGTTATATGCAACATAATCATCGGGTAATGGCGCGCTTTTTTCAATCCCGGTTTCGGATTATCGTGTGTTGTGATGATCGGAATTTTTCCGTTGTTCCAATTTTTTGATGAATGCGTTTTTTATTTTCTATAATAAACTAATATCTAAATCAGAGTATCTAGAATGAGTATTGTATACAGTTTTTTTCTGATTACTATTTCAAATGACCGAATTGAAGTTTGATCACCAAGAGTTCGGATTTTGATTGATTGGTTGATTCGAATCGAACATACTCATATCAGTTGGTGGTGCTGGTCTTGGTATAGAACGGGTAATTAACCAGGTGTTGTTACCTTTCCTAAATAAAATCAATTTGTGACATTCGTATTCTTTCTTCTGATGTTTTTGGTTGACGAATTATTATCATAAACTCGAGTTTTTAATCTACAAAAAAAGAGAAAAGGAAATGAAAAAGAAAAGAATGGCAACATCATGGTGTTGGTATTGATGGTGATAATGATGGTGGTGGAGTTGCAAATCGAGATTGCCAAGCTAAAAAAGAAAAAGACTCTCCCGCTGCTTGCCACACCACCAATCATTGTGTTTATTTATTACGAACAGAAGGCACTCCAGTAGTTCTCTTTTTTTTGTATACAAATATGTTAACTATCCTATCCTAATGCAATGTTGGGACCAAGTTTTTTTTCCTTCAACAAATCTCACACATTGGGAATATCTTCTATCATCATAATCATCATTTTTTTTCTTGTTCTTCTGTATATACAGTGTTATGTTTGTCTCATTTTATGCTTCTGCCTTTATTGAATACCATTTTCTCTATCTCTAAACACACTGTGTTGTATGTGTGTTCTGTTCTCGTTGTTTTTTTTTGGCTTGTATATTGCCTTTGTATCTATGTTGTATGCATTGGTAAGTGAAGAACTTTTTTGCTTTTTTTCTTGCTGGGCTCGCGTTTCCTGCTCCATTAAAAATGTGAATTTCTATGTTGGAAATGTATAGTATGTTTTTTCTACTCGATATCAACCGAAGAAAAAAAATATGAAAAAATAAAGGACAACGACAATACCAGAATTTTCTTTCAATGTTGCCAATTCCCAAATAGATGAAAAAGATGAATGTGAAAAAAAAGTAAAAATTTTTTGTTTTTGTCCAGTTTATCCATCAATCCTATCATCAAAATAAATGCTGATAAAATAATATACTGTACTGAATCGTTGGCGTGTGTGTTTTTATGTGTGTGTGTGTGTGTATCCCGGCGTGAGTTTTTTTTTATAAATATTGAAAAATTTTCTCTTCCATATATGATATCAGTAATTGTGATTAATGTTATGAATTTCTTTTTTTGTTAAGAATTCTATTCCAATGATTTTATGTTTTTATTTTATTTTGTTTCGGTAAGATTTTCCATTTCCCACACACACACACACACACACAAAAAACAGATTTGCAATGAAAAAAATATTCTTTTTTTACCTAGCTAATTGATTAATGATTTTTTTTTTGTTTGGACATTAGGAGGACTATGGCTAAATTATAAATCATTATGTAAAAACAAAATCTGACCGATGTTAATTAATGCAACGTAAGATACACGATCACATTCGACAAAAAAAAGCGCTACCATAATTGCCCTGTTTGATTTGGTATTTTAAAAACGAATCAAAATTAATTTAAAATAATAGCGGATGGCAGCTACACCATTGGTGTCTTCCGCTTTAACGCCATCCACTGTCGTTACAACTACTCCAAGATCAGATCTTATGGCCAAACAAACGAATAGTACGACTACAATCAATGTACATGGAAATGAGAATCTGATGAGCATCACCAATGAAACACATGATGATCATCTATATTTATCATCAAAATTTTATAATAATAAACAAAAGAATTTAAAAACTAAACGATCCATGCAGCATGTACAAAACGGAAATAATCATGTTCACTCGAAATCAAATGGAATAACCATGAATGGTGGTAAAATTCAAACAGAATTCATTATCAATACAACACGGCCTTCATTTGTTGAAATTGCTGGTAGTTCATCTAGTTCTCAACATCATCATCATTCGAATCATGGTGTCCATCATCATGGAAGTAATCAAATTTTTCTCAAACAACATCAAAATACATTGAATAATAATCATAATACATTACAATCATCAGATGATACATCTAGTACATTTATCGATGATGATTATATTGATGAAGATTCTAATACGGATACTCAAAGTTGTTCTAGTTCTTCAGGATGTTCTAGCAGTTCAAATTCTATGGTTGGTTCGGTTAATCGACATTTATCATTGAATGTTCATCAAAACTCAATTAAACAACAATTGACTACAACTACGACAATCGGTTATCCAAATATCTTAAAACAACATCAATTGAATGGTTCTACAATAACCAATAATATGTGTCATTATACTAAAGATTTAACGCCCAAACAGGTAAAGTGTTTTGTTTTGTTTTTTATTTAGATTATAATGACAATCATTATCGAATATTGTTCGATTCTATTTTGACCCACCATATTAATTTTTTTTTATAAAAGAAAGAGAGAGCTAGATAGGAATAGGAAACAGAGAATGAACAACAAAAAATTAACTCAGGATAAAGCTTAAACAACGCGCGCGCACAATCAGCTAAAATTAACAAAAAAAAAAATCGACCGATCGAAAACAAGCTAACTAACCGGTCCTATGGTTGCAATTATTATGTTTGTAATATGGTGTATATACGTGCAATCTAGGCACACAACATCATCAACCCAAACAAAATGCATAACATTTATATTCTGGACATTTTACACCGAAATTAAATTTGATCTTATAAAGAATCAAAAACTTATCGATGGGAGAATATATTGATGCTATAGACATTTCAAAGCATCCTTCGATTTTATTGTTATTCGCAATTAAGTTTGTTTCGGTTGCCTGTAGCAACTACCTTGAAATGACAAACTATAGAATAATTTTTTTTTGTTAAGTGATTAAAAATTAAAATTTTTTCGCATTCGAATTCTCTGTACTCTTTTTCAATTCATTTCAAACATTGGATCGAATCAGATTAAAATAGTCATAAGGTTGGCATCGAATTTTTTTCTTGGTAATTTTAATGGTCAGTAAAATGGCTATATTCGTGACTTGACCATCATCATCATTGTATGGTTGAACAGTATACGGGAAACATTTTTGTTTCTTCATTTTGTTAATCTAAAATGCTAAACGCGCATGTGTAGAAAAAGTTTAAATTGATCATTTCAAGTTTTTAATTTTTATGTGAATGCTTTTTCTAGCTAGGCCTCGAAGTGACCAAAAAAATTTTTTTTTCTCATTTAAATCATTGTATTGTTTAGGAACGCAGCTGTATATCGGTATACAAAAATTTATTTTTCTTTTTAAATTCATTCAGTTATTTTGTTGCGCGGTTTTTCTTTTGTTAGAAGCATAAGTTTGCATTAACCACCTGCATATATGTCATCGAGGTGACATACACGAAGTCATATAATAAATAGGGAGCGATAACTTACCTCCCTCTCTTTCTCTCTCAGTAATTGCATGACATCAGAGTATTGTTCATCATGACTATTAATTATTCATTCAACATTGTTGCTGCTCAATATCTACAATCGAAAAATCTTTAACTCCTCATCATTATCATCTTTTTGATTGTATTCTCATGGATTTTTATTTTTTGATAATTGCCATGCATACCATCGATGCGTACATTATTTATACAGCAATCCAGTCAGGTCAGGTTAGGCCTTCATCATAGATAATGAATGAAAGATGATGATCATTCGGAAAATATGCAACAAGTCATTCTATGATTACTTGCGCCGTCTATTGCATCCTTCATTTTTGATGACTATAGGAATAAATTTTCTTTCATTTTTTTCCCGCCAAACGATCGACGACCCTGTTATAACATTGAATTGTACGAACATAAACACACACACACCATGGCACGGTCCACTAAACTTTGGCCTAACCGGGGGTGTTGTCCTCTTTTCAATCTCCTTTAGTTTCATTTTGTCTTGCTACCAACACAACAATTACCATCACTATTGCTTCGGGGCTTTTTTTATGAATGAAAAATTGTTTCGAATTCAATTTCAATTGCTTACAGTGTTAGAGTTAGAGAGAGGTTCACCAACATTGATGATGATGATGATGATTAACTTGGCCAAAGGTGATATAGTAGTAGTTTGCGAATAGATTGAAGGATCGGCTTTCCTTTCGTTTTTTTCAAATAAAACAGAAAAAACTCAACCGACAAACTTGAATGTGAAGCCAATTTCATTCAAAATTGAATTGAATCATAGTTGTTGCTCTATTTGTTAAATATGTATCCCCCATTGATATGTTGGCATGTAATTTATATCCATATACAAAACATTTATTTGGATGTGTACCACCACCACAGATCAACCACACAATGGATGATTCGTTCGTTCAATGGGATATTTTTTTTGGCGCCAAAAAAAACATGGAAAAAATTGCATTGCTATGCAATGGGGAAGATACCAGGGATAGGCTCGATGGTTCAATGATTGTCCTGTCTTTTTTCTCGGTATTGTTTTTTTGTTTACTTGTGTGATACATTCGATTTATAACGTCCGCCCATTTCACCAATGAATGATGTTAATGTTGTTGTCCAAATAAAATTTCAAGGGGGATATTTTTTACATTTTATTTTTTCGATAGTTTCAGTATTTCGGAAATATAAGTAACAAGCTTAGCCGTGCGTGTAAAAAGATAGAGAGTCTTGTTTAGAGTTCAGTGATCATTAGTTGAGCATCATCATCACTTTTTCAAGATTTTCCCATTGTTTTGCATGACGATTATGAAAGTCGTTTCCTATCATTCTCATCGTGTATGTCATCATTATCTACATGATTATGTGGTTACTATCACATGGAATTTGGCCAATGGGCATTGAAACGACATTCGGATGCCATCATTCTCATCATGCGAATCGATTATTTAATCATTATGATAAACAACTATCAAGCAACCAGTAACCTCATTAATATTATCATTTTTTTAAACATCCAAATCTTTTGTAATACGCAACAGGTCGATCATTCTATGTTATTTCAGTTTAGTTTTTCGCGCCAAAACCAGGAGAAAATCCTTGCTAACATCATTGATTCGATTCTTTTTAGATATTCTGTGCTTGTTTTTTATTTAAACAATTTTGTAAATTCCATACATAAAATTTTATTTTATTCTTATGGGCAACAATAAATTGCCCTTTCTCTTTTTTGAGATTATTTATCATCAATCATTGATGTGATGTGTGCAACTTGCAACACCGACGACAATATCCAAGCTGCAGTCTATGATTATGTGCTCGCTCTGTATTGAATAATATAAACCATGGATAAAAAGTTTGAGTGAAGGTGGTGGTGCTGTTTCGTTTTGCTCTTTCATCAGTTACTGTTATGTTTCTGTGTAATTTGTTTCGGTTTTTGTCTTATGAATCCTCAATCTAAATTGATATTACTGTTTTTCAAATGTTGGATCACTACTTGCATTTGATTGACAATGCCTCACGTTGTTTTAAAGGTCATTATTCTTATTGTTGGTTGTTAATGTTTACGTGATTTATGATTGTTTTCAATTAAAATTAACCTATTCATCAATTCTGATTATTGTTTTATTATTGTTTGCAGGTAAAAAGAAGATTAGACTGGGATTCACCTCCAACATCAGCATCGCCACCCGAATCATCCAATACCATAAATAGTGTTGGCGTTTTAAGCAATGGTAATCCTGTAGCAACAACTACGGCAATTCCAGTGGCCAAAACAACAATGACAGCAGTAAATGGAAAACCCGTTAGTGTTCGGACGTTTAAATTAACAAATGCAATGAAACAAAGCCTTGTGGCATCCGGCTGTTCTCAAGCGGTTGCCGTTGCTGCTGTAGCTGCTGCTTTTCATACAAATGGTGGTGCCAATCAACAACAATCCCAACATCATTCACCCGATCGATTAATAACGGCAACAGCTGCTAGTTGTGGTTCTGACCCGGGTATCTGTCCCGTTACTTCAGCGATCACACCTGCCGTTGTTACTCCGACAGCTGTACAAATTGTAACTAATATTTCAGAACTATCGCCATCATCGCCAACCATTGCTATTGTGAATTCGAGCCCTACACAACTTGCACAGCGAACAACGAACGGTAGTTTCCAAACAGCTACCGCTTCCAATTCGATGCAACGACATCAGACACAAAACGATATATTCAAAACTCCATTGGCACCTAGCACTCCTTCAACGGCAAATGGTCATTCACAGTCTCCACAAAATTCCGCTCATCGTTTTTATATTGTTAACAATGGGGGTGAGTCTGAAATGAAAACTCATTGTTTAAATATCAAATCAAAAAATTCAACTGCGGTCCGATTGACTCCAATATTGGCAAACACAGTAGTCAAACAACAACAGTCATCAGGGAATCAGCGATCGAACAAACGTGTTCGAACCATCAAAAAGGAATCGAATTTTGAAGATTCTGTCACCGAGAGCAATTCGCCACGTGTGAACTATATCCGTGGACGGCCGATGAATGGAGCGATGAACGGTCCTAATAATGGCAAGTCGAATTCTTTCGAGTCGTCATTGCCATATTCACCATCTCCGGATCTATCATCATCACCTATCATGATGAGCGAAGATGGTGATGATTGCGGATCAAATATCGGAGATTTGTTTATTAACACTTCATCAGGATCCACTTTTGGAGGCAACGGATATTATGGCAATGGTGGTTTGCCAAGTACATCATCTTTATCATCCTCATATCCATATAGTCCATCTTCATCATCATCAAGTGATTTCGCCCCTCATCATCATCAACAACATACAAATACATCCAATTCAACTGGTCGTAAATCTGGTCGTACACGCTATGAAACTTCGTTAGGTCAACTGACCCGTAAATTTATCTCATTATTACAAGAATCGGCAGATGGTTCGATCAATTTGAACGATGCATCCGATGTTCTGCAAGTACAAAAACGTCGAATCTATGATATAACAAATGTGCTTGAAGGTGTTGGCCTATTGCACAAAACATCCAAAAATAATATTCAATGGAGAGGTGGTATTGTCGATTATTTTTCTGGTCGCAATCCATCTGATCTTACTGATCAAACCTCACATTATCGCAATCGTAGGCCACCACCTTTATCATTATTGTTCAATGAAAATAGTAATGAATCTAATAGTGATGGCTACCATAATAATCATAGTGTTTGTTCATCGTCTTCCCAATCCTCATCGATTGATCACAGATTAAGTGAACTTGAAAACGATGAAAATCGTTTAGATCATCTTCTAAGTGTTGCCCGCGATAATCTCAATAGAGTCAAGCTTGATCCTTATCTTTATGCGAGCTATAATGATTTGCGTAAAGTTCCGCAATTCCACGATCAAACTGTGATAGGAATTCGACCTCCTCTCGATACCGAACTTCTTGTTTCTGATCCTTCAGAGGTAATCATCTGAAATTTTATTGATAAATTCTTTTGTTATTAATCCTCTGAACATATTTCTGTTTTTGTTTACATAGAGTTTACAAATTCGGTTGAAAAATTCTCGCCGCCAAATGATAGAAGTCTATCTTTGTCCGCCTCCCAATGATGATGAAACGAATAATGGGGACCCAACACTCGCTAATTATGAGTTCCAATCAACAACTCTTGACGAACAATTGCAGACAGCACCTACGCTAATTAGAAGTTCCTCTTCTTCACCCCCAGTCAACGAAATTATTCCGGTGGATGCCAATCCTGAGGAATTAGTAACTGAAACAGCTACCAACCAAGCCGCATGTCATTCGGATATGCAGAATACCGAATCTGGTTATCATTCATATTATGGAAGTGGTTCAATTCAGACTCCTGTACGAGCATCAATGACCGACACAACTAGAATGGCTACCAATTCAGGTAACGGAAGTATTCATAAAAGCCATCAGTCACAGCACGTAATTCAATCGCCTAATAAGTGTTCTTCAGTATATGATGACAATGATAGCCAGATCATCGTCAAAAGTGAGTTAATCTTCCTTTTAATTGTTATACGATAAAACTTGAAATTTTTTTTTGAAATATTAGGCGAACCATCATCTAGCCATGATAGTTACGCACATGCATTCATCTGTCATGATGATGAATTCGGCCCATTTGGATCTCGCACTTATATGACCCAGACTGAAGACCAAATAACATTAAAGTCTTCCTCATCGTCGCCAATATCTAGGCAGAATGAACACAGTGGTAATAGTTCTGCAACGCCAAATAATCATGATCATAGCTCGAATAATAATAATAATAATAATCAAACTCATCGATCCAGTCATCATCATAGCCATTATCATTCATCATTATCACATTGTCATTCATCACCCATCATGATTCCATTAGAGCCACCGGTAACGAACGATGCCGATGATTATAATTTTACCCTTTGTGACAATGAAGGCATCGCCGAACTATTTGATGATAATGGTTTATCTTTTGACATTTAACACCTTTTAATGCACTATTTTAACAACCGATCAGCGATTTTTTTTCCATCATTTTTAAATTTTATATTTTAAAAAATTTGTCCAAGTATGACTGTACTCGATGAGTAAGAAATGTTCATGTGTTTGTTCGCATATCCAAATGTGTTCATGTTAATGTGATGGATAAATAATGGCCGTTTTCATACATTCGATTACTTTGATGTAACTGATTGGTCACCTGAAAACACTTTTATTTAAAAATAATCATTCATGATAGTGGACAAATTCGTAACAAAAATTGTAATCATGTTAAATGACGAAACAAAACAAAAATGATGTCTCCATTCACATTTTTATCATGTACCTCATATTTACACTCAAATCCCTTCCCATCGTTACTTGTTAGCGGAAAAAAAAGATTCCCAAAAAAATCGAAACAAAACCCTAAACTTAACTCACATTTATTTTCGTTTGGATTTTATAAACAAACAAAACATACAATTTCTTTCATCAATTCTGTTATCAACGATCAATTAGATTTACCCTTCTAACCAAACTGTTCAATGATTTTAAATCGTCCAAATTCATTCAAAGACCCATTCGATATTATAGCATGTCATGGAAAATTACATATTTTTTGTTGATTTGATAGAATTTTTCTCATTTTTTGAAAAAGTTTATCATTCTATCTTTTTTTTTCTTGGTATGATACACGCTTTCACTTTTGACTGTTTTTTCTTTTTTTGGTCATTTTATTCAAACATTCAAAACATTTTGGTCATTCACACACATTATGTGTACATATACAAATTGCTACACAAATTCATAACTTATGAGCATTTTATCTGTAATCGATTCAACACTGCAAAAACAAATGATGATATTTTGTTTTGTAAAAAAAACTTTAATAATAAATATTTTTATCATAATTTTTTTAACTTTAACTTAAAATTTTTTCCATTGCGTTTGGATATTCGACAGTCAATTTTCGTCATGTCCTATATGAACATGATCTCTAACGCAGAGCAAAAGCAAAAATCGTTCATTGTCATTATTTTGTGTTATAAGTTTGTTTCGAAAATAAACAAAACAAAACAAGAAATTTCATAATAGTTCTGAAATAGAAGAATTGTATTCAGAATTGGAAATTAATATTCAATATTTACCTCATCATCACCTTGTGAACTAATGATAAATTAATAAATCAACAAATTGTTCAAAAAACAATATTTGTTGATTGATTAATTTTCTTTATGATTGATTGATTTGTTCGACCTATACAATTTTTTTAAATGGTAATGTTTGAATATTCCATCTTTTAATGATGATGATTTTACGCTCATATGATCATTATACTTATTTGCTTCGACCACAATAACCATTGGCTGTGTTAAATTGTATATTAATAGATGATGAGATATGTGTATGTGTTTGTTTGTTTGTTTGTTTGTGTATGCTTTCACCATCTTTTTTGCTTATGAGAGTGTGTGTTATTTTTTTCTGTATGCAGTGAAGCAGTCACATGATATGATCGTTCATGACTCATATGACGATAGGAGAGCAAAGCCAACACGAAGCGATTGAGCTTTGATATGTTCATCAGCGACATAGGACATTCATGAAATGTAATCCCAAATTCCAACCAGTGTTTTACAAACGAAAATTGCAGAAATTATACTTATCTAATGATTTTTATGTGATTTTTTTCGTAGTAATTTTTAAACACTATATACCTGCTGCCCTCATTTTAATTATAATTATATCATTGAATATTTTGTTTTGTTTTTCATGTGTTTCACCGTTTTATGTTTACTACTGCTGATCAGCAGATGTTTTCAATAGAAAAAAAATTATTCGAATGGTGATTTTTTTCTTCTCTCCAATAAATCATCTTGCGTCATAATTTTGGATCGATCTTTTGATTGTTATCGCAAGATCAAAGAATCATCTGTGTTAATATCACCACCCACCAATAACAATTCATTGATTAATTAATCTCAAACCTTATTTATTTTATTCAACAATGGTAAGAGTTTGATTTTTTTTTTGCTCATTTTAATTATTTCGATTTTTTCAGGATTCATATAGAGAAAGCTATATGGTTCCGGAATCATTCCCCAAATCGTACAATTATCCAAACGAAGAGGAGAATGATCATCATACTCATTCCCATCATATACCACATCATTCAAACAATGAAATTGATGTCATGCGTCATATTACCGATGATATCAAGCCGAAAATTATGATCATGGGCCCAAAGAGGTTTGTTGTTGCTAGCTACTTTAATCAAGAATCGATAACAAACAATTATCCTTGTGTAGAAGCGGAAAATCATCCATACAGAAGGTCGTTTTCCACAAAATGTCACCAAATGAGACACTTTTCTTGGAGAGTACAAATAAGATCGTCAAAGATGGTAATTAAGCGAGAGAGTCAGACATTAATATTGACTTATTTACTCTTACATAACATAGATATAACAAACAATTCATTCATTTCATTTTCTATCTGGGACTTTCCTGGCCAACTTGACGATCGTGAACTTGAATTTGATAATAACTCTAGTTGTGGTGCTCTTGTATTCGTCATCGATTCACAAGTATGTTTCTGATGCATAATTGTTTGTTACAAGTTTTTAATTGACATAAAATTAACCATCTTTTTTTGGCAGGATGATTATGGTGAAGCGCTCGTTCATCTGAATCAAATTGTTCGCAAAGCCCATCAGGTGAATCCTAATATCAATTTCGAAGTGTTTATACATAAAGTAGATGGACTATCCGACGATCATAAAATAGAAGCTCGTCAAGAAATTCATCAACGTGCCACTGAAGATCTACTAGAAAGTGGTGAAGATATTTCGCTGAGCTTTTATCTAACTTCAATCTATGACCATTCAATTTTTGAAGCTTTCTCCAAAGTCGTACAAAAGTTAATACCTCAAATGCCTATACTCGAAAATTTGCTAAATGTTTTTATCTCGGTAATTAAATGTTGAACAATGTTTTGCTTATACAATAAAATTTTCTCTTCTTTCAGAATTCTGGTATTGAAAAGGCGTTTCTCTTCGATGTAGTGTCAAAAATATTTATTGCAACTGATTCATCTCCTGTCGATATGCAATCATATGAACTTTGTTGTGATATGATCGATGTTGTAATCGACATTTCTTGTATCTATGGGTAGGTTCAATTCATTATCATAACAGAACGTATTTTTATATTGCTATTCATATTCGTTTCATATAGAATAAATGAGGATGGCGAAGGTAGTACATTCGATCAATGTTCGTCTTCGTCGATCCGTCTTAATTCGGGTACAGTACTTTATTTGCGTGAGGTTAACAAATTTTTGGCATTGGTTTGCATCTTACGTGAGGAAAATTTTACCAAACAAGGATTGATCGATTATAATTTTCAATGTTTTCGACAATCAATTCAGGATGTCTTTTTTTATCGTATTAGCGAATCACGATTGTCTCAGAATAATAACAATAGTGTTATAGAAACACCATACGGGTCATCTAACGCTCAAGGTATTGATCATGATCATCACCAATTGATGATCAATAATCTAGAACCAGATTTGGATAGTTTGGAGAATGAAATGCTCGGTGACAAGCGAACATCGACACCAATCAATAGATTAACGCCCAGTTCATCACCAGCAACAATAGCAACGCACTTTAAGCCAAGCAACACTAATCATCATCATCCAGGTCGAAAAATAGCCATCCTCCCTTCGACTACAATCCCATCTTCATTGCCCAATCATCAACCTAATATGAATAATTTGGTAACGACGACAACATCGATGAACATGTCAGGCAAATCCAATACTAACAAAATGCATCATTCTCCCAATGTTTTTACTAATTACACGACGAATGGTCCATTAGAACGGCGATTTGTTTGAATGCTGTTATTCGATCAAACTTATGTATCAAATGCTTATGTTTGATTCGCACAAACATGAGCAAATTGTTTTTTGGTTTTTTTAAATTTATCATTGTTTTTTATATATATGGCAAGATGTGGAAATGAATACACACTACAAAATGATTCCATTTTAAATCGATCAAAAGATCGATAAGTTTAATAATTAATAATAAGAAATTCAAAATAAATTTTATTTTTTTTGTTTCCATTTTATTTGTCAATCAATTTGATTCATCGTCAATTCTATACTTAGACAAGGTAAGGGCAACACCAAAATTTGTTTCCCATGCCGAACAAATTAAACGACAAGTTTGTACAAGACTTTGTTGATTAAGAAAGGTCAATTTATACTCATAAATATTAAGCTGATTGCTATTAGTCAATGATGATGATGAGGAAGTTACTGTTTTACTGTTCACTATCGATTGCGGTAAGCAGATAGTGGCGGCAGACTCGTCGTCTTCACGAAAACGCATTACTAGTAATGATTTTGATTTATTGACGTAAATATTCGGCAACAAATTGATGATTGATTCTTTAAACAAAGTTTTAATTTCAATATGATCATTAAAATCTTTATTAAATTGATCTTTTAATGTTTTCGAAATCGATTGCTCATTATTTGTAGATGCTTTTTTGATAGTCGATGATATCTTAGGCAACGAACAAAACATCTCGAAAATGATCAGATGATCATTAGCTATGATTAGACCAATATTTTCGGTGATCGTGAATACATTATTGAATGATGATGGCGACGATGAAGATGATGTGATAATCATGGATGTCGAAGCGTTTTGTAAAAAACGGAATGATTGAAGAATAAACATCCGATACGATCGATCATTTTGTATATCATTATTTTGGAATGTGTGAGATGGTTGTGGCTCGCCACGAATCAGCAATGATCGACAAGTTTCGTCGAAATCAACCTTCAAACAATCGACATTGTCATTTGTATCGCTATTTTCAATTAGTTTGTTTTTAACTTTGATCAATCCATTCATACTGCCGACTAGATCAGTTTTTGAATGATTACGAATGCAAATCTTTTGAAATTCGAATAATAATTCGAGGAATGCTCTACCCACAGTATCATCCCCAAATATTATCAATTCTAATAGGTGATTTGGTTGTTGGCGATTACTACGTTTATTTTTGGCTAATATTTTTTTTTGTGAATCGCTAAGTTTATATTCGATCCAATAGCCAAGGTTTTTAATTGGCCCAGGTAGATGACATACATGAAGTGAATTTGATCGTTTCGATTTTGGTGCAAGCGGGACGTAGAGAATCAAACTGATTAGATCTTGTTTCTTTTCATCAGCCGTTGATCGAAAACTAGATGTGGATAGACTTTTTTTTAGTGGTTGTGGTATCATTTCCTTGTTTGGAATCGATTGTTGAATAGCTAGATGATCAAATAAGAAAAAAAAGTTCGCCGTAAAAACAGCAAGAGCAGGTTTGAAGGAATTTCGTTGAAAATCAAAACGCTGACAATAGAAAAGAATTTCTACTGATTCTGATTTCAGCGATTCATCATCAATTTTTTCATATAGATAGATTTCAATATGTAACTTAAGATAATGGTCAATGTTGTAGCACAAAAAGTTTTCGTCCAACGTAAGAAGGTCATTATTATCGTTCAAATCTGTAGAATCGTTACGAATAAATGTTTCTTGTTGAGGATAATCATTTAGTAATGATTGTAATGGAACATCTTTATAGACTGAGCTTTCATCTTTGATGATCAGGTCGGAGCCACATGAAGGACAATCAGTGATGATTCGATGCGTTCGATTACCACATCGTAAACACATATAAAACCACGGTGCATCTGTTTTCTTATTTCCACTTGATTTATTCTGATCAATGACATCATTTTTTCCCAATGATGATTCGTATTGTTTTTTATAATCATTCAATTTGGAAAGGAACATTTCAACAAAATTATGATAAGATCTTTCATCCAAAAATCGATATATACGTTCTTTTTTTGAAACAACACAAGTGTCAAAATATAGTTTGATGGCTGTGTTTGTATTTATGCATTCATATTTTTCCAATACTTTTAAATCAAGTGTTTGTAATACTTTGCCCGATGTACAATCCTTTTCATAGATTAATCCATCATGAGGTCGGATACGAATAAAATAATAATCAATATCAGGATTCTGAGTTTCTAGAATTGATTCAAATTCCGAAAGGCTTTGATATATTTCAACCAAGAACACTGTGTTTTCTTCCTCCGTATCTTCGTTGGCCCATTCTGAAGTGCTATTCAATAGTTGAGATGGTTCAGGTGTGACAGATTTTTCTGCAATCTTTTCCATGGTTTCATTCTGGTCAATTTTGTCAATAATTGTATCGGAATCATCATCTTTTAACTGTTCCTCTTGCTCTTCATAAACCTCAAACAACTTCGAACTACTTTCATTTCGATTAGGAATACTGCTATAACTTCCACTAAATCCACCAAAAAAGTAGTTCTTAATAGCGGTTTCATTCTGTTGTTGATTGCTAGTAATGGTTGTTGATGATACAACGATCGGTGACAGATCAGTTAAACTAGGAAAAGCTTTGAAATCTTCATCATTTTCATCGATCACAACGAATCGTTCTTTGGAGGGCTTAATTTTTATTTTTCGAACATTTGCATCGTTATAAGTCGTACTAGTTGGCTGATCGGTTGAATAATCATTGGAAAGTCGTATTGCTTGATCGACAATGTTTGAAACAATTGGTAACGGCTGCAATGTTTCACTTATTGTATTTTGGTTTACTCTTTTACCATTAAACAGTGTCAAGCGAAAAAGGACACTTTGACATTTTGATTTGATCCAATGATCATAGCAAATAGGATTATTTTCAATATATAGCGTCTTTAATGTTGATGAAAGATAAACAATTTCGGATAGAAATTGCCCAGTATTGGTAATACTATTCTCAGAAAGATCGAGATAATCTAACGAAATAAAATTTCTCAATCCAAAAATCGAATTAATAAGATTTCCACGAAGAGATAGATGAACCAATGATGAAAAAGCATTACTATTCAGCTTAGGCAACTCTTTTAAAGCGTTATAGTCCAAACATAATTTAGTAATTGTCCCAGTTGATGAATAATTGACTAAGTTGTTAAATTGACATATCCTATTACAGCGAAGATCCAACGTTACGATCGAATTAGGTATAGTCGAAGCATTCATGACAGTGATATTGCTACGAGATATACAGAGATAAGTTAATGAAGGCCATGAACCGAACTTGTCCCAGAAAAGTTCATCGATTCTAAGTGGTTTGAAATTATCACTTTTTGAATCAATATTTCCATGTTGACGATATGATTGCCACAATGAATATATTGATTCACTGATTGATTCATAATTGCCACGTACCCAAATCAAGGATCGCAGATTTTGTCTCAACTTTTCCGTTCCATGCAATCGATTGAATGGAATCCTTATCAATTCAATTGCTTGACATGACTCGAACAATGAAACATCGATCAATCCTCGAAACGATTTGTTTGACGGATAAACAATTTTGATGCAAGGACATTGACGAACTAATGAAATGATAAAATCATCACCACACGATGCTAATGGACATTTATCACTGATGGGCGTTATGATTTCATCTTGTTCTTGCTGATTGTTGACAATTTTTTGTTTTTGTGGTACTCGCAACAACAATAATAAACCATCGATGCAAAGTTGACATTTTCCTTGACGTAAATTTTCTGCTTGTAATCTGCATTCTTGGCTAAAAATGGCCAATGAATGCGTAAAAAGATATGATGATGATGATGATGATGACATGACAATCACATCAAACAAATCAAAACAACAACCATGGACGGATAAATAGAGTATGAATTGGTTCACTTGAGGCGTAAATAATCATAAAATCATATCTTATTTCATCGGTTTTGAATCACATGTCTTTATTTAATGTAGTCGTTGATCACAGATTGATAATTATAATAATTGATTATGATAGGAAATAAAAACACATTCCTTAACTAAAAACGAATCAAAATATACTTTGAATTCTAAACCAAAACAAATGATTCTTTTGATATAGTCGCACTATGTTTATCCTATGAAAATGCTAGTGGCATTTATCACAAGTAATAGAATGGATCGACTATGTATACATATAGTGTATGCATTATCCATTAACCAATGAAACGATTGTTACAAAATTCAAATTGAAAATTTTCAACAATTAAGATAAAACAATGTCTATTAGAGCAAATTTCGAACATTTTAGGAAATAAATAATCCATTAAATCGTGTGAATGAAACTGTTGTTATTCGAATAAATCGAAATAGACTATTCAGTAAATCATGTCTGACATCGAATCGATTCAAAGAAGTCTTAGTGCTAGTTTTTCCGAACAAATGTCAGACATGAGTGAAAATCAATGCGACTACCAATCATTTAATCCAGAATCGGTAGTGATAAACGATGAATTAATAATTACGGATTCAAATGTAAATTATGACGATGATGAATGTTGGCGAAAAATATCCGATGAGTTTCTGCATCATTATCGGCGTCAAACAAAACGATTGTATGAAATTTGTTTCAAAATGACCAGATCTAGTGAACGTCGAGAGAAAATAATAAAAGAATTAAGTGAAAAGCTGTTACACAAAATGGATTCGTTAGTAAAACGCGAGCAATCAAATTTAGAATCATGTTTAGAAGAAATTGATTCGTTGAAAAGAGAAATCGAAACCATTTTAAGTCAAGTGGTTTTATTTATGCCCGAATCAAGATTACGAAAACATCTGAGAATTTCAACCGGATCGACAGTAGAAGAGCAAGACATTCATGAACAATCATGTATTGAAGATCAGTTGGACCAACTGAAAACAATGAGACAATCATTAATTGAATGTCGAGATCAACACATGTCAATGGTGGTTGATTTGCAGGACAAATTGCGTAAGTTGATCGAAATCTTGGGCATCAATGCTTGTGATCATGATGATTATGCTCACCTTTTATCAGCTAAGTTGCTCGATGTCGATGAATTAGAAATGCTTCGCCAAGAGTTATCCGATCTGCATATATTGATGCACCAACGGCAACTTTTTTGTGCCCAAATGGCTCGACAGATCTGTTTTATCGTTCGCTTAGTGCCGTTGCCCAGATTTAAAGAAGAAACATTTCTCATTGATTATCTCGATTTTAATAAAGATCCACTTCAGGATTATTGTATTGGCCATCATTTTGTATATTCTGAGAAAAATATTGAAATTTTGAAAGATTATCTAAATCAATGTCAAATCGAATTCGAAAGTTGTTGGCAATCGATTCAATCTAAATTCGAACAGCTTGAACAAATGTATTCGCTATTCGAATTGCAAGATACGGATAATCATATATTTAATTTAGTTGAAGCTATATTAAATAAATATGATCATCATCTGAAACAACATCAAGATAAGAAAAATATGGCAGAATTTTTGCTTGAAAATTGGAATTCGTTTCATTTTCCTAAAGATATTAATGATCTAGCTTGTATTCAAAAGCAATTAGATGAAGATTATAATCACTATGAACAATTGAAATCATCACGAATGGAAGAAATAATCAATCGAATAAGGGAACAATTTGCTAGCCTTTCCGACAAATGTATGATTAATTTTGAAAGTCTTATTAAATCGAATGACCATTATCGACAATTGTTTCAGAAATCGGACAATTATAATGCTGAATTGCTTGAAGCGCATGAATCGGAATTGTCACAATTAAAACAATATTATAATGAATATGAAAAATTGTTCACACTCATCACACAATGTCACAAATTACAAGAGGAAATCAATGAATGTGAACAACGATCTCGAGATGTGTATACGACGAAAAATCGTGGTGGAATCATGTTGCAGATATTGAATAAAAAACGAAGCACACAGAAACGATTGCTTCATGTACAAGAACAATTACGAAAATGGTACGATGAGTACTGTCATCAACAGGAGAATAATGACTTGAAAATTCCATTTGATTATTATGGTTTTCGTATCGAAGATATTATCAACATTTCATGAGATAAACATTGTATAAATTCAAAAAATAAATCAAATTTTAAAAGCTATCATATTTTTAATTAGTTTCTAATTGTAATATTAGATGTCGCTAATTGCATGTTAGAAGGAAAATAAATGATTCTGTGATAGAATAATTTTAATGGATATATCAATTTCTCTTGAAAGTTTTCGAACATTCATAAACAGGATCGTGAACGTTGTCTGTATCCAAAAATTCATAAAATTCATAAAACAACAACAACAATGTCAATTGAATGTTTGGGGTAGATTTTTTGTCGAGATAATCGCTTATAACACCAAATTTTTTTCTGTGTCGTATTCCTATAGGTTTATTTTAATGTTTGGATGGTTGTTTGATTGGCTCTCTCTGATTTCTCTCCCTTTATATCCGCTGTTTGTTTAGATTGTCGAAGGGCTAAAGTTGCACCTCACATAAATGGTTGATTTTATTTTTTTTAAATCTATCCGTTTATCTTTTCATATAAATTGCAGTCGAATAATTCGTTGACAATTTTTGAATATTTTTTCAATTTACAAATATCAATAATCTCACATTGTCATTGTTCTTTGTCTAAAAAAAACAGTGAATAATAATAATGATAAAACTCCGGAGATAGAGAGATTATTGAATATTGATAAATATGAACGACGAAATTTAAAAATCAATTTTTTTTCAATAAATTTATGTTCTATATCCATGCATGGTGTTTTGCAGAGTTTTGCATATCATGAATATGTTTGGGAAAAAAGAGGAACAATGATGTAATGCTTTGGAAATTTAAATTTATTTGAAAAAAAAAGTTTTTTTTGAAAAATAAATCTATAAAGCGATGACGACATGGCTGCACAAACAGATTTTTTTCTCTTATTTGCTTTGAAAAATGATCTCCGGTAAAGTTATCTGATTATAATATTTAAAAAATATTGTTCATTTCAATCCGATTTTTTTCGAATCGATTAGAGCAATAAGAGTTGAGCTCTATGGGAATGTATTTTGGTATTAATATCATATTCACATTTATCAATAAACAATCGGTTCTTCTCATCGGTTTAAATATAACTGATTTAAAATCGATAGCTCAATTCTTTATGTTTTGAATTTCAACAAAAAAATAAAATAAAGACAAGTTTATTAAGAAGTTTTCATAGGTATTCGAAATGATTGATTTGTTCACAAAGACAATGTTTCTGTGGTTTGTGGGTTTGTTCTCAATGATGATGATGGTGGTGGTGAGACACAAATCAAAAATGATTTTGTTATTGTTAAGAAATAAACCAAGGCTCCCATGCCATGTCCGAGATATAATTATATTTACGACATAACTTTGATCAAAGAACAAAGCAGAGAAAAAAATTCAGGCCGGCATCGATCAGATATTCGAATGATCATGCTTAAAGATAATACCCGAATAATGATGATGATGATGATACTATGATGGTTGTTCGGGTTTTTTTATTGAAAAAAAAAAGAAAAACAAAAAATGAAATAATAAAATTCTGCCAAGTAACAATGATCATAATGATTCCATGGTTATATTGATTTCAGTCATTTTTTTCATTTTTGTCATGATAGATAATATATTATGGTTTCCATTGTACCGGTATCATAAGTGTGAGAAGATGTCACTATAAAAAAACATTTATATGATCATTGTGGCGATAATGATGAACAAATAATAATAATGACCGAATAGAGATCCAATTTGACCAATGATGATGCCTTTTGTCTGAATGTGAATTTAAAGCCATTCCGAAAATTTTAAAATATTCGTATAAAAAAAGTATATAAAAACCCGAGCATAACTTTATGACAGTCATCAACGAACGAGGGAGGGAAAGAAAAGGAAGTTTCCGTTTAGTGTCCAGTTTAGATGTGATGTTTTACCATTTTAAAGAAAAGAAAAAACACTTCATTTGTGGCCATCATCACCATGACGATAAAAACAAAAAACAAAATTTTCGCCAGAACTAATAGGAAAAAAAATCGAGATTGCATTTGATAGATATGGTGACAAATGTGTTGTGATGACCCCAGTGATGATAATAAAAGGAAAGGAACGTAGGGGAGAATATAATACATTGTCGTCCAATTTGATGGCATACATAACGATGAAATTGGATGAATGATCACTAACATCACCTGTAGCAATTAGGTACTATTCGCTGCTATTATTATTATTATTATTGTCCATATTATCATTCATTGTGTATCATATTGAGAAATGAAGAGGGGAAGATGAACACTTAACTTTTATTTCAATCATCATCATCATCATCATTTTCGGAATTCATTCGTAGGCGCTGTGACATGATGTGGTTGAAAATATTTAATTTAAAAAATTCAATTTTTTTTTTGTATGAAACGAAAATTTTACGATGGATGATAAATTTTGTGAATGAAGATAGTTGACCATCATCATTACTATCATCATTGGGTTATGATTAAAATCATACGAATGCGAATAGTCGTTAATATGACCAAAATCTAAATGGTAATGAACATATTTTCATCCTACACGATGACATTATGAAAAAATTTTTAGCTTTTATCCAATAATCATTCAAATGGAAAGAAATTGAACACGTGTTCATATTGGTCGAATCAATTGGTTAATGTTTATAATAAAAATCGATAAGAAAGGCAAAAGCAAAAGTAAAAAAAAACAAACTTGAAATCCTTCTGAATTCTGAATCTATAATTTCAAATATAAACATAATATCATACAACGTAAGTAATTCATGAATGATATTGTGGAAAAACTGAATCAACAAAATAACAAATAAAAACATATACACATCATACATTGACATCAGAATGGATTCGAAAAATTATCATAAGTACACAATATTAAAAAACCGTTTCGAACATTAAAGTAAACAAATAAACATCACCACATTATCAATGATATTTTCTTGCATTTATTGGTCGTGTTTGTTTGGCCTGATCATGGTGTGTGTTTGTGTTTTTTTTCGGACAAGAATAATAGCAAAGCTAATAATAACCACGAATACGGTATACAGGAACATAGGAATGCTTTTGCCTGAATTGCCTGGTGTAAAATGAGTGCTTGAGTGTTGTGTACATGGGTCATGTTGCCGGGTTTATATGGTCCAGCAAGCCTACTAGTAGTGAATTTCCTTCCTTTTTTCTATTTTGAGATGATTCAATCCTCTTTAGTTGCACATTGGAAGTGTGTATTTAGATGTAAATTAGTTCATACATTACGCTATCCGCATACACTAATAGCAGTAGGATCTTTAGAAAATCTTTTTCGCATTTTTTTATCATCATTGTCTGAAATTCGTCCGAAATAGTTCGTTTTTTCATAGGATTCAATGATGATTATGATAATGGCAAATAAATGAATAGGAAAAAACAAAAAAAAAACGATCACAAACAAACTTTGCCCAATCAACATCGAAAACTGAAGCAAATTCGTATCACAATTTTTCATTTTATTCTGATCTTCATAGGAGATGGTGGAAAAAATTCGAAAAAAATTTTTCAATTCAAATGCTAATTTTCCATTTTGCAACATAACTGTTTGGATAACTCATTTGTCCAAAATTCGTCAACAACAAACAACAACAACAAACATTGTCACTAATATTCGCTTGCATGCGACAAAATTAATAAATATTTATTCTTCAACGTTCTTCTCAAAGAAAGTATTGTAAATAGAAAAAAAATTATTTAGAAAATGAGAAATTTTTTTTACTGCTTGCATGTATACTGTATCGATATTGATGAACGAAAACGAACATCAATCGGATGTGAGTTGATTTTTTGTTTTTGTTTCCATGGTCAACATGTAAATCAAAAAGAAAAAAATCCATTTTGACAATGGACATCATCGTTCAACAGTTCTTAGTTTATGGCTATTTATTTATTCGATTGACGATATTTTTTTGTTTTATTTTATTTTCTTTAAAAACTGTTGATTTTTTTACATCATTTCAGAATCACAGAAGCTCAATGTTGACGATGATGATGATGATGGGGACATTGCCATCATCAATTCCACCTACAATAATAGTAAAGACATCAACAGAGTTGACTACGTTGATTTAATTAGTCATAAAGCTATGAAAAAGAAAAAAAATCAAAGATCATATCATCAACATGTTGGATGCCTATGATATGGCCATCACCATCATCATCATCGATATCAATTGTCATTTTTATTATTATCATCATTATTATTATAGCCGAAATCATCAAGTTGCACAAATCAAACGATAAAAAAATAACGATAATAAACTTGAATACTCAGGTATAAAACCATAATGTACATCACTATCATCATCATCATAAATGAATGACCATCACCATGATCAATATTTATTATTATTATTCAAAAATAAAGAAGAAAAAAAATTCTTAATTGGCAAAGCTCATTTACTTGATTAACTTTTTTCATCATCATTATATTATTAATACTTGTAGATGAAATTGTCTTATTGTGCAATAAGAAGTTTTCATATATTCAAAATTGATTCATCGTGTGTATGTGTATTGAAATAAATATTATAGGCTCAGATGATTATATTTATTCTCTTTTTCTTTGCACCCATTTGAAATTATTTCTATGCCATCGTTCGCTTATTCGTCAATCAATCACGATAATCACATGGGTGAATGGTGATGCCATTTTACTATGGTAATGGCCGATGTATGAATTGATTTTTTTATTGGTTCCACAATCCACAAAGCTAAATCTAAATGATAGGACCAATTACATCTCGCTCAATCTTGCTTTCCAAATAAGAAGAATGACCGGCTTTTTTTACTCTCATCGATAATGATGATGATGATGGAATCCATTCAATAACAAAGATGATATTAGCATGAATATTCAGTAAGCAAAATAAGTGTATCTTGCTTGGTTTGCTGTTGATTTTCTTAACATTGAAGCAATTCGGTAATCTGTTTACATAACCGATGTCGATAGATGGGAATAAGAACAACAACAAAAAAAAGAAGAAAATCTAACCATTGATTCGTTTGATGATGATGAATTGGATGAGATTCGGCAGCCAAATAACAACAGAAGAATGAACAATAATGCTCAATGGTGATATAGCTTTTAATGTGCCCGTGTTATTGCTATGGCTATTATTGAAAATTATTTTTTATTTTTTTCAATTCTTGAGGATTTTTTTCCATTATGATTTTGGTCGATGATGATGATAATCAAATACGATCATTGGCTATTGGTGTGTGAATAAACTAACCAAGGTAAATAATAAATTTTATTAGAACACGAACATCGATTACCATAAAATAGATACACAATACACACATTCATCGTTATCATGATGATGATCATCATTATCATGGGTAAAGGTCGTCAAGATGAGAATAGATAATAATGCTTTGAAAAAAATGGATCACCCAATAGTCAATCCAAGCATCTTTTGTAAGATATAAGGTAAAGGTAACCTGAGTACAATTTACAATGAACAAAGATCAAAATTAATGTAAGTTAAATCGATGACCATGGCTCAATTGTGCTAGGTAAATTGACAACCACAATCAAATGAATGATAAGGAGGGAGAGAAAGCGAGGATATATATTGCGTGATAATTGAAACGAATTTTTTTTATTCAATGATGATGATCATCATCATTTCGAGCTTAACAATTTTTTGGGTGCTTGAAGCTGATTAAGTCACGAAGTTCGTCCAATTGTATAGCTATTTGGCTTTGAAATAATTCAGCTGAACGGATTGATTGGATTTTGTTTGGTTTTATCGGTTTTTTATATGATACAAAAACAACCAAATAAAATAGAAGACAATGGCTGGCAGTAGTAGTAGTATCAATCGGATGATGATGAGCAATGAGCAATGAATAATTAGAATCGATTTGAATCCGATGAATGAATGAATGATGAGTGATTAATCTCGCTTGCCATAATGGATTATGATAGATGATGCATCAACCAGGATATTTCAGCATGACATTGCTGACGATAACGATGGTTCACCAATGACCGATGAGATTTAAAGATAGGCAAAACAAAAGACTTGTTTGGCTGTCATATTGTGTATGGCAGAAATCCATATCCAGATAATTAATCGGCTATAATCAATTCATTGGTCATGTTTGTATTGTGATTCGATTTTTTGTTTTTTCAGATTAAGATCTCAGACCTTCAATAAGTTATTGGGCGCCGACGTCATAAGACAAACCAGAACAAACCTGACTTGATCGATCGTCATTTGATCGATTGATTTCAGTACATTCAGAATGGTCTGATTGCTATTTTTCCTTTCATTACTTTTCTTTCTCCATTTTGTGATTTGTCATTTTGGATATCGATCGATCTATTTAGATCAATTATGATTATATTTGCTTAATACTAATGACTTTACCAAAATAATTATTATTCATTTCGATACGGAATTGAAAGAATCCAAGACAACATAAATTAGCATTTGTTTCTGGAACGTCACACCAGAAGGCGACATCTACCACAATACCTTTTTTTTGTTCATAGAATCAAGTTGATTGACAGGATTAATTGTGAACAACAACTAGAGATAGAATTGCCCGAATAAATACGCCCTTTACTTTAAGTCGCTATTGGAACTTAAGACCAATGATTATAATGATAATAATAATGATGGATCGATATATATATGAAATGGGGAAAAAAGAGAAGCGGTAGCTAAGAATTTTCGAATCGCCATCTTATCATGCAAAGGTATCCAGCATAGTAAACGCCCATTTCTCTAATTGCATCTAATCATTTCGGCGTTGTGCCTGTCCAAACTCTACCCCATCGGCATGCGTAAATGTACTGCTCGGGTTTAGCCACACACTGACTTCTTAAATAAATGTGTGTCCAGGTAATTCTCTTATTCATCCCTCTTTCTATTTGATGAAAATGATGATGATGAGGAGGAGGAGGATGAATATCGAAGCCACAATCATCATCAACCATACTCTGATAAAGCACGGATACAGATTCATATATCCCTAAGAGAATGAAGAGAGAGAGAGAGAGAGAAAGGATAGAAAGAGGAGTTGTTCGCCGGTCGTAGTAGTAGCATAAGTATTCATTTAAGGATCATTGATATTAGTTTGAAAAGATACTGCTATCATTCATAACATTCAATGGCGCGCCATTTTATCTTCAATTTTCGAATAACATGTTTGAATCGGTGTGCATGTTATCGTGTTATATTCAGTTAAAGTCTGGCCGTGATTGGTAATGGTTCTTCGTTAAAGTTATATTTGTTTTTTTTTTTGAAAGTTTTGGATTCTTTTTCGTTAACATTCGATTTCATTCATACATACTTGATTGTTCCATTAGTTTCAAGCCAGTTAGAAAAAAACTCGTCTGTTCCATCATACTGTTTTTTTTTCTAAAACCAATCCGGTTATCCAATTGAATATTCCAGCATAGATTTATTAATTTAACAACTACAACCTGTAAATTGTGTTCCATGTTTTTGTTTTTTCTTTCTTTCTTGTTTTTTTTTTGTATTTCTGTGTGTACGTGTATAAATGGTATTTTGAAAAAAAAGATTCGATAAATTTTCCTTGCTTCAATCGACCAAACTGTTGTGCTTTAATTTGTGAGGAAACCGAAAAACAATGCCAAACATATCATTATTTAGTTGTTTATGTTCTATCTGGTCTCTTTTTTTCGAAATCTGTGCGTGAATGTGTATGGTGTCTGTGATGAAATGTTGTTCTAAGTGACAAACATAACAAATTTATTTAAATTAAAAACGGAACTGTTTTTTCCAGTCCTTTTTTTTATTATTCATCTTTAGTTTGAATCGAAATGGATTTTCAATCGATGATGGAAACTTTTGCTGAGGCCTGGGTGGCCGCCAACACTCAGACACCATTAACGGAAGCAGCGGCTGCTGCGGCAGCTGCTGCCGCTGCAAATGACCATGTGAGTAGAAATCGAAACGGATTCATTTATGGACTCGATTCAATTACCGGTGAATAATTATCGTTGCAAGTACCGTTGGTTCGAAATTTTTTTTTCATTTTTTAAAAATCTCATTGATAATTGTATTCCGATTGTATTTGACGATAACTTTTAATAACAATAAAAAAAATGTCCTCAGCATATTAAAAATATGATTGCATGCATTAAACCATCGATGAATGGATGATTGAATTCGTGGATATTATAACATCTGGCGGATTTACTAGATTTTCCCGGATTTGTCTACCTTCTCAGTCGATAGATAAACATACAGAATCAGTAAAAAAAGATCTATCTACCATTTATAAATAGATTCGTCCTGGAAAATCTCTTCAATTTGATCCCAATATAGTCTTTTTTCGGTTGATGCATTTTTAGAAATTGATAATTCAAGATCTAAAACAGGAGAAGAATCGTCATTCTACCTTGCAGCAGTAATCGATCTATCGTTGAAAACATACAATTCGTCTGTCGATGCTAATATATCCATCACGCACACACATGGTTATATTAATATATTTGGCTGGTTGATTTGGTTTTTTTTTTTGGTTTCATCCATTACAATCCAGATTCATGCTTCTAACAAGAATCTTTCGACCGTGAACAAAGAAGAATCTGCGAGAAAAAAAATCGAAACAATTGTATCATTTTGGTTACTTTATAAGTTTGCCAATTCTTTGCCTTACCTTTGGGGGTACCACCGTTATCCCAAAGCTATTCGGTTTAAATTAATTCCAATTTTTTCTGTATACATTATAATGACAAACCTGAGATCGTCGAAATTGAAAATAAAAACCCGATGATGATGATGATCCTCATCATTGATCATCCATCCATGTGATCGTTTTTTTAGCTCCCGCTTATTTTCTTTTTCTTTCATTCTCAGCTTTCAAATAGCGCATACTCTTAGGCCAAATGTGCTGTTTTATACCCAGTGTCAACCAAAATTCTCGTTAACCGAAATGAAATTGATCCGATATTCTTTAGTTTTGCAATGCTGCTCTCTTGGATGAATGAATGGATGAATCTGATACGTGTGTGTGTGTGTGCATGTAGATGCACACAACAGTAATCGTTAATCTTATATCCTTTTGAATCGTTTGTATAATAGAAAATGAATGAGAAGATAAAAAAAATAAAATGGAAAAAATCTATTTCCGCAGATTTTTGCTGCTGCAAGCTTATATAACTTTTTTTTGTTGCATTCCCTATTATTTGTATTTGTATTTTCTTTTTTTGGAATTCGATTATTTTGAGATTCCATTGATAATGATGAAGATGATATCGTTATGTGTATGCTTTGATCGTCGTTTATTTTCAATTCGGTTTTTGTTTTGTTTTGTTTTTTTTGTTTTTTCTATTGCATTCATTCACTATAGTCATTCACAAATCCACAAATTTCAATTCGATACGATTCTAATTTTTTGGACAAAGTAGTAGCATTAATAGTCGTAGTAGTAGCAAAGTATTTGATAAGAATTAAGACAATCCTTGTGGTTCATAGTTTTTTTTGAATTCTGGTTATTAAACGAAGAAGAAGAATTACCATTTATTAAAATTATTATATATTAGTCATTGAGTTAAATATTCACTTGTGATTCAATATGATAATAGCCGAACGGTATGCAACCATAAATGTTAGATCAATATACCCACCCACTCATATAGAAAGAATTCCAAAGACCGTGAAAAAAATCCTGAATGAAAAAAAAAGTTTGCATATATTTTTATATGCGCGCAATGTACACTTTACATTCACACAGAAACCGATTTCATTCATTGTTTTTTCCCTCTGTTAATCTTCGATAAAGATTAGGGATGAAAAAGCGAATAAAACATCGTTTCTACATTATACACTGTGCAAAAAGAATTCAGTAGAATGATAGTGGCAATGTTTTGATGAAAAACTGCTAAGAATTTTTTTTTTTTTTTTTTGCCACAAACATTCGTATTTAATGTATATTCAATAAGAATGTGATTTACATACATATTATTCTCTGGTGGACATTGTGTATGTGTTTTTATTGTTGGAACACAGAATTTTATTCGAATTATACACAACCAACATTTTTTTCCGTTCCAACGATAGACTTAACTCTTACCTTTGTTCGTTTTGCTGAATGTACTTGAATTATTGAGAAAGAAAAAAAAAGCAAAAACTCTTTGAAGAAACGAAAACAACATCAAAAACATCATTCATTCAAAGAGAAAGTGCTAATTTAATCTTGAAGCTAGATAATCATCTTTGCTGCTTTGTCTAGCTATGACTGTAAATGTGAATGTTGCTAATGATATTATTATTAACATTCTTGTCTTTATATACTAGCCATGTTCCATTTATTTTGCTTTGGTTGTTGGACCAATATTATTGAATAAAGAGAATGAAATAAGAATTGGATAAAAGTTTGAAGATGTTAATAAAACAATGTGAACCGATTACATCGGTTTAGAGTTTTCCATTTCTTCTTATTGTTATTATTATTATTATTATATTGCTGACTTTGTCTCTAATAATTAAAGTTGAATTTATATTATTATACATTTACATTTCTTTCTAACACTTATGATTAAAACTCTTTAGTTCCTTTTTTTTCTTGTATTGTTTTTCGGTATTCAAATAAAATCCTTTTATTTTTCAGCATTTTCTTTGGGTCTTTTTTTCAATTCAACATTTTTTTTGGCATTTTGACAGCCATCATCATCATCGTCATCAAGAATTATCGCAAACATAAAGTAAAAGCAAATTTCGGATAGATTGACGTGCAATCCAATAAAAAATAATAATAATAACCAAGCCTAGCTAAAAACTGTTTTTTTTTTGTTGAAACATTGTAGCCCCTTTTGGAATGGTTAATTGGTTTTGAATATTACCTGATTTTCATTATTGCCTTAAGGTACATTGGCCACACATATATACTAACTACAATATCAACAAAGGTACAAGGTAAAGGCTCATCATCAACGGTTTGATGATCAATGAAGAAAAAAAAATTGTTGACGGCTAAATCAGCTTAAAATTGTTAGAGTCATATTTTTTGAACATGTTCATGGTATGAATGATTATGGCTCCGAATCGAATGGATAGAACGATTTTATTTTTGTTGTTGTTGCCATTTCTGTCATTGATTTTTGTATACACACATGACTTGACTAGGTCCGGTCCAATCGATTGTTATTATATTTAGGTTTCTGTTCACATTGGATAGATAGATTGATTTGAATTACCTTTTTTTTATTATTTCACTTTAAACTCTCTTCATTTATGGATTGATTGCCGAATGAATCAATAGAGTTTATGTGTGAGATAGAAAACGAAAGAGAGTTGAGAGACACCGCGACTGATTATGACAATCTGACTGACCTTGTTCAATAAGAAATTCGAAGGAAAAAAACAAAATCACCGAAAAGCCAGATCTAATGCCATAGGGCTAGCTTACAAATCCAGAATAAAAAATGAGTTTTTTTTTGCACTCACTCACTCATCGATTGTCGACCAAATATTTAATGTTGAACGAAAAAAAACGTTTATTGATCTTGTGTGTGTTTGTATATTTCGTTTGTTCGTTTTTCGTTAAGACGTGAAAGTAAAAATAAAAATAAAAATCTTGAATGCCGCGATTAACCCAAAGAAATGATCGGTCAAATATTACAAGTCCGATATATATTTACAAGGACACGACATATATTTTTCCTGTTGTTGAGAAGTTAAAAAAAAAGTCTATCCTTACCACTGTTTGTTTGCAAATCTCAATCATATATGGTGATGGTGGTTGTGTATGTTGAAAATGTCGAGACTTTTGTCAATAAAGGTGTGCGATAATTTTCTTCATTTTTTCAACAAAAAAAAAAAGAATTTTTCTCCTGCCACACACATACATGCTTAACACTAAGATTTTAAATCTAAAACCCCCCACAATAATAATGAATGAAAAAAAAAACAACAACATAAAATACATACCAATAATCATTTATCCTAAATGTAAATACTGAATCTTTTTTTCACCAAAGATCATATTTGTTTTATAAATCTTTATTGTTCCAATCATATGGATCAATTTACAATTGTTGTTGTTGTCCACTTAAGTTGATGTGTTTGTGTTATATGATGATGATGATGATGATGATGACAAAATTTAGCCGAAATCAATACTAAATTTGATTTCAATTTTTCAGTTCATCATTATCATTTTCAATAGTGAATGTTTTTCTTTTGAAAAAAATATTCATTTTTTATTAAAAAGCAAACAATGTGACAACAACCAAACCGAAAAGTTGTAGAAAATATGCAAGGTCATCATTTGTTTTTCTGTTGGGATTCCTTAATTCATCACTTTGGTGGTTTGTTTTCTCCCCCAATATATACATTGTATATAATAAGCACATTGTCATATAAGGATAAATTGATGCGAGTCCAAATTGCTAAATTATTATTAGTTCTTTCCTGTCTTTTTCTTTTGGCTGATTCTCGGGTGAAAGTCTTTTTTGTTTTTGTTTTGTTTTTTAAAATCTGAGTAAATATGACAAGATAACAATAATAACGATGATGACAAACAGGAAGGGAGGAGGTGTGAGTTATTCCTATGGTCTGATTTTTTTTCGGTTTGTTTGTTGTCATTTCAATTTATTTTTATATGTTTTCAGTTGTGGTTGGAAATCTCTTGTTTTGTTTTTATTTTATCTGTGTGATTGGCAAAAATTTATAGTTTGCTTCATTCACCTTGTGTATGGGTATGTTTTTTTAGCTTTCGATTCGATATGTTTACGTTTCGATACGCTGGATTGATGATGATGATGAGGATGGAGATGGCCAGAAAAGCAACACGGCGTGAGATTTGTCCATCATCCATTCATTCATTCAATGAACGAATGAAATCTATTAGTGTTGTTGTTGTTGTTTTTTTTTTGGTTTTCCATCACCCGGTCTCTTATCACACATAAAAAACAATATACAAATAATCACA